GACGCGGCCGAGTATTACCTCTCCTCCGCTTTAAATACCATGTTGAAGATCGGCCTCCAACCCCCTGCCTCTCCAGCTTCTGCTCCCAGCCCCGAAAACCCTGTCATACTAGGCAGAGACATCAACCTTCCCTCCGCAGCCCCTTCTGAGAATCCTGAAGACCCCGAGCAAGGCGGCCAAGTCGACAAGCGCGGTCTCTGTATGACCATGGAGTCTCTATCTGAAGTTCACTCGAGGAAGGGAGAATACAATGTAGCAGGGCAGCTGTTACTGCAGGCTGTGAGCGTTTTGATGCCTGCCGGGGAAGAGGAGCCGCCGTTGAGGGACAGGTGCCAGGCAGCTATGGTCCGTTTCCCATTTGACCCCCTTTGAGGATTCTGACATTCTCGTAGCTCATGACCACAATCTCTTCCCACGCTCTTCACCCCCCCTCGTCCAAGGCCCTCAAAGTGTCGAGATCCTGGTCACTCCGCGCTCTCCAAGTGGCGCAACAATCGCTGGCCAGCGAAGGTGAAAAGGGTTCGTTGAATGATTCGCCCTTGGAGGCTGCGGCCGCGGTTTGTGAAAGGGCAAGGGCTGTGGGACTGCATAATCTGGGAATGATCGCCGAGGTAAGTTCACGTGAGAGTTGTAGATTCATGTGACTGACAAGGGTTCTAGATGGAGAAGGATTATCCAGGAGCGCAGAACCTATTTAACAAGGCGCTCTCTGTTGCGCGTGAGACTGGATTCTCAGAGGGGAAGAGGGAATCATTGGCTGCTTTACGTAGAGTACAAAAGCTCGCAGAGGCTGCAGTCAACGCCAAATGAGTGGAGTGTCGACTTGAGAGATGCGGCATGGATGCATTGATATATACAGTGACTCAGCATTATCGAGGTTGATACTACGTATACACATTAGGAAAATTGTCGTAAAATAATCGTGACACATGGAAACATCCAGAAGATTCAATGTCCGTCTCCATCTCATAGACTTGGGATCCGCTCAGACCCTCTCCAAAAACCCGACGTCGAACCCTCCCATACCCCTCTTCATCGCTGGATACACCTTGTTGCTCTCTTTCAAGATCATTTCCAGCCGGGTGCACACTTCAGCGGGGTAGGCGAGGTGCTCGATCTGGTTCGTACCAGCAAAGCCCGGCAGGGGTGGTTGGCCGCTACTCCACAGATGAGATCAATCACGACAGGGCAAAAGTAGAACACGTACTCGATGACTTCCTCTGCCGACTTGAACATGACCTTGACAGCCTTCAGAACCCTGCTCCTCCTCTCATCGCCCCCGCTCCCTTCGGCCTTGGCTGTGACCGAGGCCAGAGAAGATCTTCGCGATTTGAGACTCCTTCTCTCACTGCCCCCATTCGGCTTGAAAGATGATCTCAAAGGCGAAGGGAGAGGCAACGCAGGCCCAGCGGGCTGATGGCCTTTGCAATACGAAATGGAGGTCGAGCTGTTGAATAGCCAGATATACATTCGTTTGGATTGCGTCTCTTCGTCCGAGATGATGAACCTATAGCTAGCATGCGCCTGAGCAAGCTCGAGCATGTCAGAGACCACAAATACGGACAGAGGTGCTCTGATGAGTCTGCATCAAGTCATCAGCGATGAAGCAGGGTGGGGTGCCACAACTCACGGTGGATTAGCAGCGTCATCCTCGGCGTCGACATCATCTCTCAAAAGCCCTACGGCCCATTTGGAGAGCCGTAAAGTGCCAGCTCCTGGCTTTCCATCATCGGATCGTTGTTTGCCGACGACTTCGCCGCACTTGCAAGCAATAGGGCGCCAGGGGTCGTTCTTTCAGGCAAAGTCAGCATCATCGACTTGTACAGTATGATTGCAAGAAATAAGTATGAGCAAGATGTGTCCTCGTGTGTAGCCTTTGCTCGTTTGATCACAACAAGTCAAAGGTTTGATTACGGGACCCTCTTAGAGAGGTACGATTCGATATTGGGCATTTGTATCAACCAAAAGAGCAAAAAGCTCCTGCCGCTCAACACCTCGTCTCCCGCTTCAGATCCACCTCGCCAACAGGCTGTAGAGGGAGAAACTTGCTGAGAGTTTCGCGCCTCACGTCCAGAGTGAAGGGAGGCGGAAAGCGAAAGAGAGGACGAAGAGGGCCATCCACAGGAGGGGACGAAGGCCTTCTTATTGGCCCGGGGGTACGACACTACAGGAGAACATTGAAGCACTCACCTCATTGCCTTCATCAGCCTTCAAGTTCTCCCACCTGCCTCTACACTCTTCAACCAACACCCAACTACCCCCGCAAAGCACCCCTCCCTCTTTGGGCCAGAACCCTTCCTCCACCATCCCTGCCAACCTCCCCGTAAAGGTCGGGTCATCGTGACACATCCAGATATCAATCATCTCTGCCCAATGCTGACTTGGGAGGTCTTTGTAAGACTGTTCAAGGGTTGCGGAGTACGGGGACGGGAGAGATGAGAGAGGGCGTTCGCACGCGGTACAAGTGAGGAGGGAAGGCTTGATACGACGAAAGTCGGGGGCAGAGAGAGCATGCGCGATGGTAAGCGACTGTGCAGCCGGGAGCAGAGCTACAGCCGCAAGCTTGCACTCCCAGCTCAGTCCCTGCTGTACGACTTGTACGCTTTGACCCGTATGCACCGGCACAGGAAGAGTGATTGGGAAGTTGACGGAGGGGTCGCGTTCGGATGTTGCAATGGCCTGTGTGGTAGACTGGTCTTGGTCGGTGAAGGCTGTCCCGAGAGTCAGGTCGAGGTTGGAGAGGCCGGAGCCTTGGAGGATGATTTGGACAGAACGAAGGTTTTCTTGATGTTCAGCCACATAGCTAATACTGTTGACATCTGGCCAAGAGTCAGCTCTGCCTCCGTATCGGAATAGTTGGGACCTACCAAACGACGGTGCCGACTTCAAGCCGAGATGCACGCTCCCTCTTCTGACCGCCCCTCCAATCTTACTGACCAACTTGCTCTTTCCACCCCCTTCCCAATTGGATCTCTCCCTCAACATCTTGTCTCCCTTCTCCTTCTCGCTACTCTTCGAGGGTGGCGAGGGCGGCCTCGACGAATTCAAAAAGTCCGTCACACTGACCTCCTCAAACGGATCCGTCTCGCTCTCCTCATTCCTCGCTCCTCTCGGCGTAGGCGGCAGACTATCCTGATCCGGCAGCCTCCTCGAGCCGACTTGAAGCAGCGTATCTACCAACTGCTCGTGCTTTTGCGTCAGCCGATCTTCGAGGGTGGTCGGATAATCTTGCGATTTGAGGCGGGTGGTAGCGGTGTGGGAGATAAGGGTGGATAGGAGGGCTTGTTTTCTGGCGGGGGAGGCGGAGGTGAGGTCTGAGAGGGGAGCGTCGGCGTCTTGGTTGTTCATCCTGCCGCCGGCCGATTGTTCAACGAGGTCTCGCAAGAAAATGTCTTTCTGTAGTAGCTCATGAGCATGAGGCGGGATATGAATGAAGAGACGTACAGCTTTCAAATCGCGAGCTCGAGCAAGCTCTGCGTCAACCGAGCGCATCTTGGAATCCTGTCCGGTCAAGCGGCTAGCTTCGCTTTGCTCTACGATTCTCGTAATGAATCTCTCCTTCTGTGGGACAGCATCAGCACCAGAATCACGTCTAAACCATGGGACTTACTGATCTCGCACTGAGACCGTCTGTTCCAGCCCTTTGGTCCTCCATCACCTCGTACCTCCCTCCATTCATCAACATCCATATCTCATCAAGCTCTTTCCTCTTCACTCTCTCGAGCTTTCCACTATCTTCCGGCCCCAACTCCCTCGCCTGCGCTCCATTCATAGTCTCTGAGGTTCTACGAGCAGCACGAGGTCTGATCTCAACGCGCTGATTTTGGAAGCGAGGCGCCGCGTCGTACAGACGTTCGATAGCCAAAGTAACAGCTTCGAGCTCGCTGAGCATCTTTTCCCTCTGCGCTGTTGGTCTTTCAGAAGCAATCGTATCGAGGGAAGCGCGCGGTTTTGAGTCTGGAGCCTTCAAAGCCGAGTCTGCCGACTGTGTAGAGGTCGGGGGGATATCTGAATAGCTCGGCAGTCCCACATCACTCTCATGCCTCTCATACCTCGGTGGCAGTCCTTCCACCAAGCCACCTCTCCCCTCCGCACCTTGCTTGACCACCTCCAAAACCACATTACTCAAACTCTCCATCCTCGCCCAAGCCAACTCTCTCCTGACCTCCTCTACGGACGGATGAAAATCTGTCGGCCTCGGGGTGGTCGGTGAGTCCGAAGAGAGCTGATTGAGGGTCAAAGAGGTGGAGCGAGCGTGTTGGAGATGTTTGAGGCTCGAAGCGAGGTCGTTAGGCGGGAGGGTTTGGGTATCGTCGGACAGCTCGGTCGGTTCTTCCGTGGAGATGATGGGGGGAGGGACGAGACCTTCCAGCTCGTAGGTGACTTCTAGCAGCTCCATCAAGGCGCTGGCCAGCTGGCTCTCCTCGCCAAGCCTGTGGAATTCTCCATTGCCATTACGCTGAGAAGGGCTGCCTTGCCCGGGGGCGAGCTCGTCTGGGAGAAAGGCAGAGAGGGCCTGCGCAACTGAGCGCTGGACTGATTGCAATGACCTGGTCATATCCTATAGCGCAAATGTCAGTCCTGTATAATATGCAAGAGGAAGCGTGCGTACAGCCTGGTCGACAGATGGGGACGAGGATCCGATGTCATTTTGCAGCAGATCTGTCGGGAAAGGCGCTGGGGGTGGAGGGAGATCTTGCTGTTGCTCGAATGAGGGAGGAGGTTGCTCTACAGGCCGGACTGCCTCCATTGTGGGTGATGGAGAATGAAGAAGATGGAAATGGAGATTGGTCTGTGAAGTGTCTATGAGATCTAGCAGAGGCCGGCGGCGGACCGAGTGGCTATGCCCTGGTTACGGAAAGGACAGCCGAGAGGGACGATGGCGGGGAGGGGCAGGCCGGTGATGGGGCAGGAAGCGAGATCTGAGCGATCGTTTTTGATGTTTGTTGGTGAACGGGACAAGTGAGAACAATCGGAGAACAAGGTGGAATGGAGAAGTGCGGCGCGATAGTCAAAACATGCCCTCAAAGACCGTGGCACTGGCAGTCGAAGGCATGCGATGGCTTCCAGGCTCGGGATTGCATGAAATCAGTGGGCTCATGGATTATTGAACCTTGAGATCCATATATATGTAGGTACATGCCATGTATGCAAGCCTCGATCACAGGTGCAGCCCTTCTTCTTCCCCAGACGCCAGCGCCTGCTCTGTGGTCGTCACAGGCGCATCGCTCGCCCACCATCTTCTTCTCCCGGCTATACCACCTCCAGGCTCACCATACCGCCTAAACACATCTCCCGCATGCCACCCGGGCGCACCAATTCCGAGATCAGGGCGGACTTTGTTGATCAGAGCCGCTGCCAGAAGAGCTATTCTTTCGTTCTGCCGGGGCCTACCAGTGATTCAGTTCACATCAGGACTTGAGCTGGGGACGTATACTGACATGAGCTCCTCGTTCTCTCTGATAGCCTCAATACAAGCCTGCTGACTTTCTGGATCCTCCCGCCCCTCTTCAGACTCTAGAAACTCTTGCAACTGGTCTTGGCTAGAGTAGAGATGTTCCAGTGAGTTGGTGAGCCTGAGCACCTCTATATCAGAAAGGATCAGCAACTCCTATCAACCGGTAATTGCGTTTCGCTGCTCACCCGTGATCAGAGTATCCAGCTCGAGATTGACAGCTTCTTCGAGCGTGAACGGTTGCGAGTGGTGAGGACTAAAGGAGACAAGCTGAGACATGCTGTAGTCGACAGAGGGGAAGGTGATGTGGATGGGCTGCCGGGACATATATGCTGAGAAATGGGAAGAAGGTACAGTCACAAGGACGACCGACGGTGATGCCGGGTGGAGGTGGAGGCAGATGCTCTATAGCATAGCTCACTTGCCTCTTGCTCCTGTCTATGGAGTACGCTGAAAGTATATATCTTCTATGATTGTCTGTAGAGAGTGGTACTCCCTGTGAAGTATATGCAGCTATCCTACTTGACTTGTGTGGTACGCGGGAAATCACTGCCGTCATCGGAAGCAGCAGAGTTCGAGACATCCGACGATGGGAATCCATATGCATACCCGAGTAGCGTACCATGCATACCATGACTAACTACCAGACAGCATTCATGCATACTATGCATAACATATACCCCAGCATGAACCCGGTCCCAGTTGATACGCCGAGAATCACGTTGAGTTGCCGAGCCGGTGACTCCATCTATAGAACCACGCATCTCTCTCTTCCATCCCCATCTCCACAATGTCTGCCAAATCAGTCAAACTCTCCCCCGCCATCAAAGCCCTCCTCTCCGCCCCCCATGCTCAAGGCGGGCCCATCCCAGCCCCTCCTCGAGCCACGCTCAACTCGCTTTTCGACCGTATTCGTACTCGGGGCGAAGCCGGCGGTGTCGGCGCTCCCACCTGGCTCACGGTATCCACCGGGGCGCTGGTCACTACGAATTCGCCTGATTCGGTGAGGGCCTTGTGGGATTATGCGTCAGAGAGGAGCGGGGGGCTGGGGCAAAAGGTAGAGGCTGCTGGGGTCATTCGAGAGACGGCGTTAAAGTGCATCTCGTTCTCCGGCATTCCGAGGGTAAGAGCGCCTTTATGACTGGTGACTTGTAGAGCTGACTTTGGTAGACGATCAACGCGCTCACTTCTCTCCGTGCCCATCTCCCCGAGGATGTCATCAACGATCTCTCTACTACTCCCACCAGGCAAGTCCCCTACCAACGTTACCGTGTTTCTGACTCTCCCTACAGAGGACTGACCCCCCAAAACGTCAAAGAGACCCTTGCTCGCGGTCAATCCCTATGGGACGCAATCTACGAACCCCTCTCCGCCAAACTCCTTTCCAAACTCTCCGACGCCCACCCGGACTTGCCAGTCCACATCCTCACCTCCCACTACTCCCACCTCCTCTCAGACCCCTTCACCACCGGTCCTCCCGGCGGTGCCAAAGTCGGGAGGGTCTTGACTAGCGTCGTGGCCATGGCTTGTTTGAGAGCGCAACAGGGGGTGGGGCCTCAGTTGACGAGCCATGTCTTTGGGCTGAAGAAGAGTCTGCTTGAAGGCGGCGGGGCGGAGAGGGAGGCGCCGCTCAAGGGGCAAGAGTGGTTGACGAGTGATGAAGGTGTGAGATGGATTTTAGAGAGTACGGATGAGATTAGCCAGGTGTTGACCGAGGGACGTGCGAGCTTTGCTGGACCTGTCAAGGCAAAGCTATAGAGACACGTAGATTGTAGATATGAAAAGTAGACATGTCATTGCGGTCATTATAAACAAAGCTACACTTTGACATCTCCAACATGGACCCTCACCCAAAACGTGAACGTCTTGTACTCCTCCTTGATCCTCTCTTCCCTCCCGCCGCCTTCCTTTTCTATGGGAGTACCCTCTCCCTCCGCTCGATATGTATACCTCACTTCAAGATCAAACTCTACCGGGCCATCTGCCTCTGCCAAAGTCTCCACCTCAACAGTAACCTTCGAGATGTTGCCCTTCTTCTCCACGCCCAGCTCCTTATTATGCCTCTTGTCCCTCATACTTCCCCCGAGTACGCTCATCCGCTTCTTCCCCAGCGTACTATGCGTACCCGTCCCAGTTCCAGTCCCAGTCCCCGTCGTAAAACTCATAGCATCCTCACTCCCATCCGCCTCCTCATCCACCTCATCTTCATCATACGCCCACGCATCCTTGAGCGCATTGATCGTAAAGTGCGGGGTCAGCACGCTCATCTGATGGTTCGGCGGGGGCGCGTGGCGGGGGAATGCAGGCTGGGTGAGCCGGATTTGGATGGGGTCGTAGAGCGGGTTTGTGAGTGCCAGTTGGAAAGTATACGTCTGAGAGGGACGGAGAGGGGAAGAGAGAGGTTCCTCTTCTTCCTTCATCCCGTTGGGCAGGATAGTCCGACGTCTCCTCTCTTTTCGCCTCCTCTCGGCATCTTCGCCCGAAGCCGACAGTGTCGACCCACTAGGCTCTTCCACGTCCCCGCTCTGCACCCGGCGGCGGCGCCGACCAATTTCAATGACGGGGAGGTAGTTGGCAGCGACCATCTTGATCTTCATTCGGATGCCTTTAGTGTCGGGCTGGATGAGGAGATGACGGCAGTTGGGGTCGGGACATCGTTTGGTGAGTTTGGTTCTGAGAGGGATTCGCTGAGGGAGAGTAGCTCTGAAAGATGGGGTCAGCAAAAAGTCAATCATTGGGATAAGAGGACATACTTGGCCATACGGTCGCTCTCCCAACTCTTATCCCATCGCTTCTCCAGCTCGGCCACTCCTTCCCACCCACCATGTTCCAGCCCAGCCATAAACTCTCCCGCCTCGAGCCCCTTTTCCAAACCCAAATCCCTCCAACTACCCTTCGCTTGATACTCGCCCAACTCATCCCACCCCACCTTCTCCTTCCCCTTCTCTTCCCCTCCCAGACCGAGGCCAGCGCGCTTCTTACCAGCCATCCCCGGAACGGGCCGATGTAGCGCTTTAGCAGCCATCTGCGTGAGGTGAGAGATGTGGCGCGAGGGTACGCGGGTGCGCTGAGGTGTAGGCGGGTTGGAGGTGGTGATGTATGATTCGAGATGGTCTTTGATAGAGTCGAATTCTGATTGGACTTTTTCTGTTTGTGTATGGATCTTTTGAAGTTGTACTACGCCTCGTCAGCTCTGCAACAGGATGAATGGTGAGGGAGGGGCGTGTGACGCACGGGCGATACCAGTAGGCTTCTCAAACTCCCAGCCGACCTCTTTGCTACTCCATTTGCAGCCAGGACATACCAGCAAATAAGGTGCACCTGCCGCAGCGTTCGCGCCTTCTGCCACCTCTTGTCCTGGCGCAAGGTCAGAAGCTTGGATAGCCAGACTTGAAGTACATTGCGGGCATGAGAAGCACGACCTCGCGCATCTGATCTCTTGTCAGTATGGTTTCCTCTGGATATGAAATACACTTGCCTGTTCTTGTCGCCCCTGACATTCGCCCCCGGGACATCAAACAAGCAATTCGGACAAAAGAAACTAGCAACCTCGACACCGACGCAGAGGTCGCAGCGGATAGCGTCGCATTCTTCGCAGAAATAGAGCTTTTCCAAGGGCGAGAAAGAAGGGTGCGATGATGGGTATGATGGGGGTAGAGGTTGCGTGGGGGGGTCGAGGTGCGTACACGAGTAGAGAATGGACATTGAGGGCGATTGAGTGTATTGAAGGAGAATGGCTGATGTTTTCGCTTTACCAAACTTGTAGATTGTGTCAGCGCATAGTACCGGATATATTTCTAGCTCATAGGACTCACTCTCCATGTAGAACATATACCCGCAGTCGTAGAAATCAAATGATAGAGGACATGGGCGCAGAAGAGCGGGATCAAAATACGCGTCGCGTCCAACTCCCTCTGGGCTTCTCGAACGCAAACTCTCTTATTCCTCGCTTTCATCTCATTTCTTCCTCGTCCTCCTGTCTCCCCCAGCTGCCCAGGAGACCTGCTCCTCTCAACGACCCCCCTCCCCGCACTCACACCTCTCGGCACGCCCACAGCCTCCCCGGGCGCTCCTATCAAACACAACAGACCCTGTGCTATCTTTACCCACCATGTCCCTCGACAACTACCACAAACTCGAGAAAGTCGGTGAAGGTGCGCACAGTCCTCTGCTTGTTGATACAGACGTTCATCCGCTGACTGGCGCTATCTCTTCTCCCTTCCCGTCAACCCTGGAAAAATCGCTTCTAAAAGGTACCTACGGTGTCGTCTACAAGGCCAAAGACATCAACACCGGCAGCATCGTCGCCCTCAAGAAGATTAGATTGGAAGCAGAGGATGAGGGTGTACCCAGTACCTCCATCCGAGAGATCAGTCTGTTGAAGGAGCTGAGTAAAGATGACAACATTGTCAAGTGAGTGGTCCCGTAACGTGGTCCCCGTGCAGGGAGGCAGGGTTGGGGATCAGGGTTGAAGAGAGAAGAAACTCATGTTGCTCTATCAGGCTGTTGGATATTGTGCACTCAGAGGCCAAGCTGTACCTCGTGTTCGAGTTCCTCGACATGGACCTGAAAAAGTACATGGACTCTCTCGGCGAGAAGGACGGTCTCGGACCGGACATGGTCAAGGTGCGCTTGATCCTCCTTCATTCTCTATCCCCACGCTAAAATCATTGTAATAGAAATTCTCCTACCAACTCATCAAAGGAATCTACTTTTGCCACGGCCACCGTATCCTTCACCGAGATCTCAAACCCCAAAATTTGTTGATCAACAAGGGTGGAGATCTCAAGATCGCTGATTTCGGTCTCGCCAGAGCTTTCGGTATCCCTTTGCGTACTTATACCCACGAGGTGAGTCTTGTTATATTCACTGTGTGCGAGGCTGACAGTGATAGGTTGTGACGCTCTGGTACCGAGCGCCCGAGGTGCTTCTTGGTTCCAGACATTACTCTACTGCTATCGACATGTGGTCTGTCGGGTGTATCGTCGCGGAAATGGCCACCCGTCAACCACTCTTCCCCGGTGACTCTGAAATCGACGAGATCTTCCGTATCTTCCGGTACGTCACCTGTCCATCGCATTGACTTGACTGACAATGCGCAGAGTCCTTGGTACACCAGATGAAGACGTCTGGCCCGGCGTGCGATCCCTTCCCGACTACAAGCCCACTTTCCCTCAGTGGAGCCCTATCAACTTGGGTGATGTGGTCAAGGGTCTCGATGCGGACGGTATGGACTTGGTGGCGCAAACTTTGGTGTTTGACCCCGCTCATAGGATCTCTGGTGCGTCATGTCTTGGGCCGTAAGATCGAGCTGACAAGCGTTGAATCATAGCCAAGCGAGCTCTCCGACACCCCTACTTTGACACTGTCAACCTCGCCGCCGCCTAAGCGTGCTCCATACCTTTCCCCAGCCTCCTCTACAACTTGTCTCACACACGACACATCACGAATCTAGCTAGCTGGCCTCTTCCTCATCTCTCGAGTACGGGACTAGTAAATCGAGACCCTGAACTCTAAGAACTCCCTCTTCATTCTCCTTCTTGCACGTCGTTCCTCGAACAGTAATGATGTATGTATCTTTTTGGCTCTAGTATACAGTTTATCACATTTGCGTACAATTCGTGCTTTATCCAAAGTTGGCCCATTCAAGGGAATAGAATTCGACCTCTCCCTCCTTCTCTCTATCCTCATCAACGGCTTCATCACCTCTCTTCCCGTCGTCCCAACAGCATATCAGACCCGCCTTCTTCGTTCCGGTTCCCAATCGTCCCCAAGCCACAATTTCCTGCGGCTTGATCGGTTCATCTCTGACGATCACCTGACTCGTAAAGTGGGCGTGATACCGCAGATAGTCACCCGGGTATACAAGCCACTCTCCACCAAAACGCGGTCCAAGACCGACACGATAAGAAAGCGCAGATAGACGGGAGAAGGCAGATAGGAGGGCGTGATGTCGGGGTGTAGAGGGGAAGGGGAAGAGGGGATGGGGAAGGGATGTGATGGTAGATGAAGACGAAGCCTCGGATGAGACGACAGGGTGGGCGGGGACGATGTGAAAGTGCCCAGGTGACACCGTTTGCGTCTTTGGTTTCTCCTTCACCTCCTTCACTTCTTTCTGTTCGACCGCTCCTTCTCCAAACGGTTCTTCTGCCCCAGCGGCTTTCGCCTTCTCCGCCTTTGCCTTTGCCCTAGCTTCCCTCTTCAGCCTCGCCTTCTCGCCCCCTTGATCGAAAAGCTTTCTAGACTCTGCTTGTCTCTTGACTTCCTCCGCGGCAGCCTTCTCCTCGAGAGCTCTTACACGGGCTATACGAGCGGCCGTATGCGCGGCTATCGTAGCCTTAGATGGAGGTCCTGGTGTAGGGTTCAAAGGGACGATGTGGGCGATCCCTATACGACGTTTGAGCGCTGTTTCGGTCCAGAAGCATAGAAAGATACCTTCTTGTAACAGGAAAGCAGTCTCTTCCTGCATAAGCGTCATGGGTAATCCCAAGAACCCATTCTGCTGAGACACACCAGGTAGAGTCCCCGCCCTCAGACCTGATATCCCATATTCACAGTGCAACGTGGCAGCCGCTACATCCTCCAGTCAGCTGTGCGCGGGAACGAGTCGATATGGAACTCACTTTGAGCGTCCCAGATAGTGGCGATACCGTTGACGAGGTATATGGGTATGCTGCCTTCTTTCGGGGGTGGCTGTGGCCGTGTGGACGGCTCTCCGTTCTTGAGCATGGCCATTGATGAGTGGTGAGTGGCACAGAAAAGTGGAGGATTTTGAAAGAGAAGAGTGGAGGGAATATTACGTAAAGAGACGCCGACCATCTCTTGCGACGAGGAGAGTCCAAATCGAGTGTTCTCTACAAATACAGCTACAAGTACACCTTCCAGTCTTCGTCATACTCCTGCCACCATGGTAAGTAAGGGGAAAAGTCACGAATTAGATGGAGCTGACAATGTCTCCCGTAGTTAATCTTCTCGTGAGTCTGACATTCCCTACAACAGTCCGCCCCGGCAATACTGTATCATTCCTCGCGGCTTCAACCTACACCATCGAGAATATCACTGGAATATGGATTCGTGTTTTACCAAGAGAATATACGACTTGATCTGGTACTGATGCCTGGGTAGCTTCTTCAAGACCCTTACCGACCAAGTGATCACCATTGAGCTGAAGAATGACTTGTCAATAACCGGGACCTTGAAGTCCGTCGACCAGTACGTCTTTTCCATACTGCCATATAGCCCCTGTGCCCTTATTGGATCCATGCCCGACCAATATTGGCAGAGAATGGATCTAGAGGCCCGAAAGAGAGCAGAGCGCTGGCTGACAACCTAACAGATATCTCAACATCCGATTAGATAACATCAGCGTGGAAGACCCTGAAAAACACCCTCACATGGTATGTTTACTAAATTGCCCTGTTGTGCTTCCTGGTGGATGTCTTCCAAAGTCCGTCTGCCAGACGTGAATCACCTTCTGTCCGCTCTGTCCGAAGGGCCGATGTCTTGGTTCATTCTGACACTCATCTGCTGGCCACTGATGTCACAAGAGCATTGTGCTGACTCAATACTCGTAGCTGGCTGTCAAGAACTGCTTCATTCGAGGTTCCGTCGTGCGATACGTGAAGATGGCCGCGAGATCAGTTGACACGACGCTCCTGGAGGATGCTACCAGGCGAGGTGAGTCAAATCCATAATGCTATCGTCACGATCCCGACACTGACCAGCGGCTGACCATCTGCAGAGGCGAAGGAGAGCAGGAAGTGATAATGAGAATGATCACAGGAGAGGGTTTAGGCGGGCGCGAAGTTGGAGAGGATAGGGATATTTCCCAATTGTATACCTATATGCATGATACATTATACCGGCATCCGCTCTCAGTCGCATGCACGTCTCTCATGTGTCGCCATCATTAGATACTCAAGAAGACACCTATAGCTGGTCTCGCTGGTGTCAATAAAGCGTCGCAAGCCAGGCACGCATCATTACAAAAGTCGACGCCGTCCACCTTTATCTCGTACTCTTCCCACCTCAGCCGCCTGCAATGCTCCCCTCTTTGGCCCGCTCTCGGGCATGTGCTCGCCCTTTCATATCCTCCATCTCTCGGACTCCCCTCACTTCCTCCCTCCGTCCATTCCCTTCAACTACCTCGTCTCTCTTGCGTTCACGCGTCCTGACGACCTCCTCGACTTCTCTCTCTTCCCCCTCTACCTCTTCGCCTTTGGACAGTACCAGACCAGCTCCCGTGACCGAAACGTCTTCTTCAAAAATCACTTCAGAGCTGCTGGCGCCGAAGGAAGCGCTCCCACCAACAGCGCCTACAATCATCGACAAGCTTGTCCCAAAATGGGCAGAGAAAGCCAAGCCGTACTTGTACCTTACGCGTATCGATAAGCCTATTGGATCTATCCTTCTCTACTGGCCTGGAGGTAAGTCTCTCTTTGATATATTGGCGGCTGTAAGCTGATTTGGGGCAGCATGGGCGATCACGATGGCCTCTACCGTACACCACCTCCCCCCTTCTGTCCCCATCTTCTACTTGGGCCTCTTCGGTGTCGGATCTCTAATCATGAGAGGTGCAGGGTGTATCATTAATGATATGTGGGATGCCAAGATGGACCGTCAAGTCGGTAGGTCTCTGCTTCCCTGCTGTGAGACCAGGTCATGGCTGACAGTGGTGCAGAGCGGACAAAGACAAGACCGCTGGCATCTGGAGAAGTCACCCAGCTTGGAGCTCTGACATTCTTGGCGTCACAGCTCTCTATAGGGCTTGCTATCCTTACCCAGCTCAACTGGTACAGGTACGTTCTCGAACCCATCTCGGGACCTAATATTGACTCTTGCCATCGAGTATCGCCTTGGGTGCTTCTTCCCTGGGCTTGGTGGCGCTCTATCCCTTCATGAAGAGGGTCACCTACTTTCCTCAAGTGGTCCTCGGTATTTCATTTCACCTCCGTACAGCTCGAGGCGTCAGACATCTAACAATCGATTCAGGTTTCACTTTCAACTGGGGCGCTCTCCTCGGCTGGTCTGCCGTAGCCGGTGTCGTCGACTGGTCCATCGCGGCCCCCATGTACCTCGGTGGCGCCCTATGGTGTGTCGGCTACGACATGATCTACGCTCACCAGGTTCGTGTTGCCCTCCTCCATCCCTTCTTCAGCTCCATCTGACATTCAACAGGACAAGACCGATGACGTCCTCGCCGGCGTCAAGTCCATGGCCCTCTACTTTCCCGACACCTCCCGCCAAGTCATCTCCGGCCTCTACGCCACCTTTGTCTCCCTCCTCGCCTTCACCGGACACATGGCCGGCCTCGGGCCGCTCTACTACCTCATCTCGTGCGGTGGCGCCGCCGCCCATCTTGCTTGGCAGGTGTTGACGGTCAACTTTGACTCTAGGCCGGATTGCTGGAAGAAGTTTAGCTCCAATGGCTACTTGGGAGGATTGATCTGGTTGGGGGTGGCGGCTGATTATGTGCAGCAGGCTGTTCTTGGGGTGGCTGCTTGAGGTGGCGATGTATGTGGAGAAGGTATGAAAAGTGGCGATATGCTTCATATGCATGATGGAACAAGACACCCTCGATAACCAACTTCACGCGATAATACTTCCTCTGGATCATCTAAGGTGTACCTCCCAAGAAGTTTCGGGCCTTACTCGCTTGGGTATCCCAGTCATCTTTGAACGCTGCGATGCCCACGAGCACACCGGCCGCGAAGACTAGGCCTGTCAGTCGTGACCCACAGCCTCGACACATGCTTGGAACTCACAGCAGCAAGCGACGAGGAGCCAGTAGGCGCCCCAAAAGCGTGAGCCGCAGCATCCGATCATCTTGGCAAACTCGCTCGCGTCGGAGGTATTGACTTTACGAGCAAGAGTGTCCTGGGAGTCATCAGCAAGGTCGGCATAGGTCAGCAGAATCGACCAACATCTATAATGTCCCACTAGAATGGATGTGTGAGTCCCATTGTCCATTACTGAGCTCAGATGCTTACAATGGCGTAGAAACAAGACATCGTTCCAATGAATAGGACCAAGAACCGCAATGCCACCGAATCGGCGACTAGCCAACACACCTGTCCTGGCCGTCAGCCTTCTGATCCGCCGATATCTGTCCAGATCAACTCACCAGGACGAGTCCAACCATCAATGCAATCGTAGCCCAAGCCACCCAGCTCGACTTTGCCCACCACAATGTCAAAATCCAAATGAACGCCAAGATCAGACAGGCGACTTTCGAGGCGTTGGTATCGAACCCGCAAGCGACAAGACAAGCGCCCATGAAGGAGGATCCAAGGTAGCCGGCAGGAAGGGTGATTGCTGGTATTCCCCCTCGCATCCGTGTGGACCCGCCCTCTTGAGGGTCGAGAGTGATCTTTTCGACGGTGGCGCATGTCAACACCTGCCAGAGAGAGGGTCAGCGGTGGTCCTCTTAGCCGTTTTCCAGACCAACTCCAGCTATCGCATGCGACCTTCAACAGCCACATTCGTCAGCTCGTATTACTCGGCAGGGTAGAGAGGGGTCTTCGTACATCTCGTGCATGCCAACAGTCTGTGAACATCGGTCAGCAGGATACTCGGTACAAGCTTGATTGAGCACGCACCAGAAGCTTGAAGGGATAGATAAGTTTCTCGAGCACAGGTACTGCAAGGAGGAGCGTTCAGACGCCCTGAATATGCCTGCGTAAGTCAAGAGCTTACCATGCCTTTTAGGTGGTCAGCTACGGTACTATCGTATATATTGAGATCGACTTACCACTTGAAAAAGAAACACGAACAGGCGAGTCGTTGGTGAGCGCCCAGCTGGAGATCAGAGCACCTGTACCCACCACTGAGAGAGGGTCAGCCCATGGCACTCGTCCACAGCTCACAGCTGCGAAGAGACTTACATATAGCGATAGCGACGATATAACAAGCCCCGACTATCAGGGTCACCCTTGAACACTTGTCAGCTTCATGGGTGTCAGCTGACGGTTGACCCACCTCTGGGTACTGTTCGGAGTCAGAACCTCGGCAACATCTCTTCGAGGATATTGATGTAAGCCTGTGGGATCGTAGGCGTCGATGTAGCTGCTGGGCAGGACGGGCGGCATTGTCTGTGCGAAGTCGGGGTATAGCTGTGCTAGAGGTATGCGACCAAGATTGCCTGTGTTAGTGAGTGTGCTATACTTGTATGGACGAAAGGATTCTTCAGAAACAGAGAAGAATGGCAGATCCAGGACGATCGAGAATTAGAATTGAAGCTGTGTGTCCCGTTGAGGACGAAAGGGACTAAGCTGTCCGTGCGCCTCGCTGTGGCTGCTCGGCGCTTCCGGTGCGAGTCGGGCACTTGTATTGTGATGGCACAGCAAGTGCAGAGGCTGGGCCTCACAGCATGTAGTATGTACATATGTAGCCCAAGACTATACGTAGATGTTCGAGTAGGTCATTGTGCCAAGTGAAAATCATTCGCGTGGTGACCAAACAGTTCTATCTCGCTTCATCTCGGTTGTTGTTTCGTGGATCTGCATCCATCGTTTCTTCTGCATTTTACTATACGATCTTCATGACGATGTGTACTGAGTCGATTGATCGCAAAACATGACTATGACTACATGAAGCTTAAGAAGCTATGGTATTAACGATGTTCCGTAGACAGATTTCACAGTCCAGATCAGAGAGACAGCGGCCTGCCGCTAAGATCCGCCCTCTCTACCCCCTTATCCCCACCCACCTCCAGCACCAACCCGTCATACCCAGGCCTCACCCTGCCGCCCTCTTCCCTCCACCTCTCTCCCAGCCCCTCGGCATCGCCCCCTTCGCCAAACACCTTGTCCCAGACCCTTCTCACGATCCACTCGGCCTGAGCCATATCCGGATGCTCCCTCACCTCATAGTCTCTCCCATCAGGGTCTTGTAGAGACCTACAGACTTCCTCCCACATGAAATGAGAGGTGGGATGGGTGCTGCCGATGACGTAGGTGTTGGCTGCCTTGAGGCGGAGAGAAGCGGCCAAGGCTTGGGCCAAGGAGAAGTGGGAAGCATGGGGTTTGGTAGGCCACAGAGCGTCGATGATGAAGACGGGAAGGGTATGCTGGTCCTTGGCTGCGAGGTGACTGGGACCGCGAGGCGAGATGGACAAGTTGGTCAGATCGCTCAGCGACTGACTCTTTGGTGGCGCACCTCCACGGGGAGTGTCTCCACCATCAGGGGTCTCGGCAGGGGTAGGCAATAGCGTGTGGCGCTTGGCAGACCGGGGATGCTCGAGCATACGTTTCCAAGTACGTTCGGGAATGTGGCTGACGTCGGACATGTAGATGACTGACTCGTCAAATTCAAAGGCCAGGCAGATGAGTGGTAGAGGTTCCGACTTGACAGGAGGGTCGTGTGCAGTCTGGGTGTTGGTTGGAGGAAGCACCGAGTTGAAGTAAATGCCGTGATGGACTAATTATAGAGTCAGCTCATGAACACAGGTTGAAAGTCATCCGAGAGTGAAAGGACGTACCCGGTAGGACTTTGACATCAATCCCTTCGACTTCGAATTCGCCTTCATCTTCAATAATCTTCCAGATCAATTTGGGGCTGCAGTCGTGTGAGCAACAAGCATGTATGACTCGATGAACGACCTACACATCGCCACCACCAGAGACCTTGGTCTTGTCAACCATGTAAGGAAAGGCCTCTTCAACCTTGCCGAACGTTTCTCGATTGAGATAGACTGGAATGGCCCTGCCTTGCCTCTCACACCACTCTCTCAGGTCGTCCAGGCCAAAGTATGCATCCGCATCTGTCACAGCCATCAGCGTTACATCTATCAATTTGCAGGATAGACTCACGTCCGTGGGTCAAAAGCACCGCATCTACCGTCTTGACGCCCCACTTTGGAAACAGTCTCATCGCCTGCTCTCTAAACGACTTTCCCACGTCAACCAGTACATTCTTCCACACCCCCTCCGCGTTCTTCTTGCGCAAGACCACGCTGGTATTACCCCTTTTGTTCTTCCAGCCCTCGGGGACATCTGGATCGACAGACGAGCGACAGCACGCGCAGGGGATATTCTTGGGCCATGGACCTTCGGGATCGTAAGAGCCCGGGAACACCGAGTTGGCAGAGCTAGAGGTGACAGAGGCTGTGGAAGTGGATTGGGGAGTTGGACGGTCTTGGAGGATGGGGACGAGGTCTGACCATTTCTGAGGGTAGGGCGCGGAGAGGGTGAGGCAGGGGGTGAGCGGGAGGCCGGAGGAGGTGCCGGTGCCCATGAAGAGCACTTGGAGGGGGTTCTGTCCTTGTTCTTGAGCCATGCTTGCAGTTTCTAAAGTCTAGCTGGACGGATATGTATGAATACAAAATTCAGAGATGCGATTTTGGAGCGCAATGATAGGCGAAAACAAAGGCGCGGGGGCCCGGTCGGACCACTCGGCTTTCTTCCATTCAACACGTTTCGCAGCTGCCATGCCTCGCGAAGGCCACGTCTATACCACAGGTCTGCATGGTTGAGAATCTATATATATAAGACCAGGCTACCAAAATCTATGCCCCTACTGTCCGTAAAGAGAGAGCAGAGGTTGACAGAACACGGGCTGCCTTTAAGAATCGCAAGGAAAAATGAAAGTAATAATAGTACAAGGGTAATACCGCGTGAGTAAAAGAATCACGACAGCTTACCAGCGGCTGTTGTAACCGTCACCACCACCGTAGCCGCCGCCTCGACCGCCACCGAATCCACCACGGCCTCGGCCACCACCACGACCGCCACGGCCACGGCCACCACCGGAACCTCGGCCACCGTACAAAGCCATCTCCTCGAGCTCAGGGGGACTGCGAAATGTTAGTGAAGGTTTGAGAAACAATCGAAGAGAACTCACATGACAGCCTTGGACTCTCTCAGAATCTGGACGAGTTCACGTGCAGACTTGGAGTTCTCGGTGGTAAAGTAGGTGTAAGAAGTACCAGTCTTACCGGCACGACCAGTTCGACCAATTCGGTGAATGTAGTCTTCACAGTTGTTGGGGAAGTCGCTGCGTAACGTCAGCAGATGAAACAAGGATTGTATTCAAAACTTACTAGTTGATAACGTAGCCAATGTCTCGAACATCTGATGGTGAGGACAGAAATGGTTAGTAATGAGACGTGCGAGGTCGACGCTCGATGGTAGACGTTGGCAGCATAGTCAATCACTGCAACGTGAGAGCGCAATGAACTCGCATAGACGCGCCAAAGTTTGCTTTGAAGAGCAGACGATAACGTGATAATGACAAGCCGCGCGTTGGTGCTTTCGAGGTCTTGATAGGGTGTTGTCTGTCGCATCCTTCCTGAAAATGAACGCCGACCACAGCTAGACGTTGGAAGACGGTCAAGGTGGCCAGTGAATCAAAGAAGTTTTCGAACCAAACACCCCAAGACCACTTGGGCACGCAACATTCTCTCGAAGTGCTTACAGTGACTGTCAAAGGTGCTGACATGGACATAACCATCTCGCGTCAGTAGATAAGGAGTACTCACCGAGACCTCGGGAAGCGACATCGGTAGCAAGCATGATGGGGGATCGACCAGACTTGAACTCGGCAAGGACCCAGTCTCGCTCGGCTTGTTGCCTGATAATTGTTAGTAGTGGACATGGAGGCTTCAGAGTACTCACTTGTCACCGTGAATGGCAAGAGCGGGCCAGCCGTCCATCCTCAAGAACTTGGTAATGTCGTCGGCAACCCTCTTGGTACCAACAAAGATGAGGACCTTGGCGTTCTCCTGAGAGATCTTTTCGAGGTGGGCGAGGAGCTTCTGTCGCTTGTCAAAGTCGGAGCAGACCTCGACGTGCTGGGCAACGTTGTGGTTGGCAGTGAGGTCCAAAGAACCAATGTTGACCTGAATAAAGTCGTGCTGGAAGTCCATAGCGAGACGCTGAACCTCCTTGGGCCAAGTGGCAGAGAACAAGAGGGTCTGTCGGTCAGGTCGGATCTGAGAGACAATCTTCCTGATCTGGGGCTCGAAACCCATGTCGAGCATTCGGTCGGCTTCGTCCATGACGAGGTAGGTGACTCGCTTAAGGTTGGTCTTGCCAGTCTCGAGCATGTCAATCAATCGACCGGGGGTGGCGACACAAACCTCGACACCTCGCTGGAGGTCTCGGATTTGGGGACCCTTGGGGGCACCACCGTAGATGGCAGTGTTCCTGATTCGGGAAGAAGCGCCAAACTTGGTGCACTCGGCCTGAATCTGGACAGCAAGCTCTCGGGTAGGGGCGAGGATGAGGACGATGGGGCCGTCACCGGGGGCAAGGAGGGGCTGGGCGTTGATGTGGACCATGGCGGGGAGGGCGAAGGAGATGGTCTTACCGGAACCGGTCTCGGCAACGGCGACAACGTCACGACCAGACAAGGCCATGGGCCAAGCCTGGCACTGAATAGCGGAAGGAGCGGCGAAACCCATTCGGGCGATTTCAGTCATGATGTAGTCGGGGAAACCAGCCTCATCGAAAGTGGTGATGGGGCGGGGGACGTTCTTGCCTTGGATCTAGAGACTAGCGTCAGCCGCGGGTCAAATTTGAGTGATTGCGATATACACACCTTCATCTCCTTGGAGGCTCGGAAAGCGTCAATCTCAGAGTCGGATCGGGCAGTGACTCGGGGGTCCTGAACGTAGAAGCTGATGCGTGTCAGTGGGGCCGGCGTTGAAGGAAGAATGAACTCACTTCTTCTCGAACTTGGTGAGAGTGGTGGTCTGCCAGTCGATGTTCTGGAGACCCTGACCAAGGTTGCTCATACGGTCACCACCTGTGAAACATCAGCACTGTAGATCGTGTACCCTCACGCCAGGATACATACCAAAACCGCCGCCACCATAGCCGCCACCTGTTTATGAGACAAAGTGTTGGCCAATTGGTAACATGGAGATCGTGAGAAGAGACGTACCTCCGAAACCACCACCGCCGTAGCCACCGCCACCGCCACCGTAGCCACCACCGTAGCCGCCGCCACCACCACCGTAACCACCGCCGCCACCGCCTGTGAAGATGTTGGTTGAGGCCTAATGTAAGAACACAAGATACGCACCGTAACCACCGTAAGACTATCACTCGCGTCAGCCTTGTTTCTTGCACGATCGACTCGGGCGTACCATTTGAGATACGTTTTGTGAGTTGGGTAGAGAGTAGAAGAGAATAGATGCCTCTGTAGTGAGGATGTTTTTTGTTGTGGAGAAAGAAAACAAGAGCCAACGATGGGTGCAGGTTTGAAAAACAGCGTTATTAACGGAAGCAAATGCAAAAACTGCTCGCCACTCGAGGACTATACGTAATACGGCGATATGAGCGATACGGCAATATGGGTGTGGCACTTCTTATCTTATCAAACACTGGGAAAAATGTTGCCCTGAGATGTCATGTACATGGATGCTGAGCATATGGTTGCTCGGAAGATCTTGATAGATCCCACAGACAATGTCGATCTTTCGCAGAGGTTGAATCTAAGAGAATATCTGGCAAAGGGTATATCAACGGTGACGTTGGACGACGCACCGCGACTGTAGGGCTATGTACAGCATCTTTTAGTATTGAGATCCACCTGTTTTGCTGTAGGACATACACTATGCGAGGGGCGGTGGCACATAGGGAAGTCAGTGCGGAGACCTGCGTTGGTTGAAAAGTACGCGTCCAACTTGACCCTGGACGCCAAAGGACTGCTTGATTTGCATATATTGCTATACAGGTGCCAGATGCGCAGTACCTCAGCACTATTGCGATTCTGATGAACCCCTTTCATAGAGCAGAGGATTTGGAAACGACGGCTAGACACGTAACGAGTTGCAGAGACATGATACTGAAAAAGCGTATCAATTACATGACACTAGAGCTCCACACCTAGCTCTCCTATTACCGCCACCTAGCCCGCGCGCACCATCCACCTAACCCTCTCCATCTCTGCCCCCGCGTCGTAGTCCCAGAGCGCTGCTCGGGCCTCGGAAATAGATTTCGCGCCCTCGAAATCGATGATTCGTGGTTTGTTATCGACTGGATGACGAAGGATATGCCGGGCGTTGATGTCGACGTGCAACATCCCTTGTTTGTGCAACCTCTCGTAGCTTTCCATGATCTGCTGTCTGCGACGGGTAGTCAGGCCAAGTATCGGAAGCCTGGGTCAGAGTCAAGCCACGTACCGGACATCGGATGACAAATCGGTCGGGAGCCTCTCCACCTCGTCCTCATAGTGTAACCTAGGATCGAAACAATCAGCAATTTCCCCAAGTCAAGTGAGGGAATGAGCAACCCGGACTGACTCGGTTTCAAACTCGTCAGACTGGACAAAGGGCGTCCCACAGTCTCAAGATGAGGCGGATCGAGCTCGGTGTCCCCGAGAACGGGGCGCACCCAGAAACCCGCTCGATATGAAGCTTTTCCAAACGCTATGGGAAGACTGATCTCCCTATCACAGTTTGCGATCTTCCTGAGGTTATCGAGGAAATCCTTGTTGGCGGCGAATTGGGCTCGCTGGGTTGGGACCTTTCGAGTGTCAGTACCTCTGATAATGTGATGTAAAGGCTATACACACCAGTACCTCTGATGATGTGATGTGAAGGCTAACGATCTTTCAACCCAAGCATACTCGCTACCTCGCGCTCGCCCTCGGGACCATCCTTCACCACGAAAGAGGAGTCAAAGTCGATGAGAGCGAAGCGGCCGTCGGCGCGTCGGAGTATGTGGCGTGGCTCTACGTCACAGTGAAGGACGCGCACCGCATGGATTTGATGGTAGAGGTCTCGGATAGCCTGTCTGAGAACGTGATCAGCACAGGAGCATTGTAGCTGCCAAAAGACACTCACCTATCCTGCAAAGGCAGATACTCCAGCTCATCCTCTCCGGCGACTGGCCCCCCGACATCCTCCATCAATTCGATGTGCAATGGGTAGCCCCCAGGGATTCCCCCGAGAGACATTGTACCACTGAACGAGCCATACTTTGCGGGGACAGCCCCTCCTTGTAGGCGTGCGAGAGGTCCACTGTACAGCGCCGCCTCGAGACGATATGCAGCCACTGCCTCTTCGGGGCCTTCGAAAAACTCCTTGTGACCCCCATAGTACTCATCATAGGTATCAGGGCACATGACCTTGGCGACGAGCTTCTTGCTCACACGGCCTTCGACGGTGAGGACGGAGTGGTAGACGTCCCACAGGCGCCCAGAGCTGATATAGCTGCCGAGGGCGAGGTGGGCTTCAAGCTCGGAAGTAGGCAGTCCCGAGTGGATAGTGTCGTCGTCGGCCAAGGATGCAATGACGCAGGGGGAAAGGCGACCGGCCATGTAGCCGTTATCCAAGTTGTGTTGCTTAAAGTAGTGAAGAGCGTCAGGGGGGCGATCGTTGGACATTGAAACCTGCAGAGTGACGGGAGCAAGTTGCTAGAAGAGTATAAATCAGCCATGAGGAAAATCAAACGTGAAATGACACTGACATTCCTCGGGATGTTTGCGTCACCATCAATAGCATTGTCCCTTCCAGCGCCGCCAGTGCCGCCAAGTTTGTCATATCCACTCTTCGTGCCCCTCGATCCCGATGCCCCTACCCCGCTCTCGTTCTGGCCATTCTGCGTTGAATCATTCCCCGAAGCTTCGGACGAAGACCAGACAGGTAGAGGTCGAGGTGTATAGTTGAGTGGGGGTGGGGGTTCCCTCTCAAACACGGAAGCCACCACAAGCTCCATAGGCGACATCTTGCCGGGCTCGGGCGCAGTTCCGGGCTCCTTCCTATAGATTGGGTCACCCACACGAAGCAGGTTCTTGATAACGGGATCGCGCTCGAAGGGAATCCAAACTTCGTAGGAGGTGAGTATGACGAGGTCGAGTTTGTAGTGATTCAATTCTTCCCACAGCTGAGCAAACTCGTCAGAACAGCCATCATAGCAAGTCGCAGTAGTGCTCTGAGCTTACCTGGGATAATCCGTCTGCCCAGTGCGTCCATTTCGGCACGATCTTCCCGTCGTCGTCCACAATGCGCAAGGCGGGGTGAACTTTACCACCAACTTGCCTATCAGCCAGAATGAGCTTCAAGCCCCCCTCCTGGCTGCACTCCAACAACAGTTGCTCCAAATTCGGCTCGTCGACAGGCACCTTCTTATCGGCCTGGGACTGGTTGCTGTGACTTGCGCCGCTTTGAGCCCCTCCCTTCCCAGCTATATCACCTTGCGTCAGCGAACGAGGTGACATTCCGGTCTGAGACACCGCACCTTCGACAGCTGTCGTTAAAACGGTGCGCAGCTTGACCTCGACGATAGCGATGATTTTACCAGCTTTGGCACTCCAGAGACAGAGAGAGGACGTACGAGTGAAGTTTACTTTCATGCAGGCCCATACCCTTGTAAAAAGGGTTCAAAACCACCCCCCGGCCGGCGAGGACGACATTACAAGCCGTAGCGAGCGCCACACCACCAGTAGCCGTGTTTCACCTCACAGACGCTACCGGCACAATGCCCCTCTCACTCAACGCCTTGCCCTGGCCCTGTATGGAAGCAGGCTTCTCGTTGGAAGTGTCGGAGCAGAGGAAAGAAACGATATCGTCGATGGCGCAGATATTGTCCCAGGTCTCTTGGCCGGGGGAGGAGGCGTGTTCGATGTTGTTGAGGGCCATACCGTTGGAAAAGTAGCCGCTGCCCATGAGGGCGAGTACCTTGACATCCCCGCGGGAGGGGTCGGCGGCCCATTGGAGGGCTGAGAGGAGGGTGCGGCAGTCTTAAGTCGTGAATGCTCCATTGCTATATTGTGTCAGCTTCCATTGCACATTCAGAAACGAATGAACATACTAGAAACTCCAGTAGACAAACTGGGTGATACCATCACCTTGCTTGAGACTCCTCACAAACACCTCCTGCCACTCAGCCTCCCTCTCTTCCCAGGTCTCTTTGCACATTCTCCCAGGATCTTGCCGTGCCCCGCGAGCTTGATAGCTTCGGCTATGGGGATCTTAGGGTCGATGGGCTTGGTCTTGACAACGAGCGGGGGCAGATCGTCAGGATGATTGGCTGGAACTCTGGAAGTGAGGGAATAGACATCAGAAAGGCGCCCCCTGTCGATCATTGATCCTATAGAGAATTCGAGGTCGACTGCTGAAGAAGCATAGATGGGTTGGGAGACAGAGAAGGTGGGAGAGGAGGGCATGGTGATGGCAGTTGTGATAGGAGCTTCTTTTCGAGGAGTGGCGCGAGCGGTGAGGGGAGAATCGGCGATGGGAAGCAAGGGTGGCGACGAAGAGAGGTTGGTACAGTCGTCGAAATGGGGGTGTGCAAGGTCCTTGTCAATCATCCATAGATAGATGAGTCGGACAAGCCAACAGGGCCGAAGAAATGCTGCGCCAAGGAGCGCCCCGAATCAGACAAAGAGCAGCCATGGAAGTGAAGGCGAGCCCACACAGACTATTGTCGAGATCAGCGCTGTAGCTGTGTTTACGGAGATCAAGACACTCACGGGATGAGCTGCGTCTTTAGACATCCCGGTCATAGGGCATCTCAATGGCGGCCGCTTCGAGAGTGATAGATAAAGGACGGATGAAGGATATGTTATGAATTACGAGTTTCCAAGTTGCTGCAACATGTCATGTCAGCCGGCACCACACGCCGCTTTGCTAACGTACCTCAGTCACTATCGGCCCCCATATCTGGCGGTATGGATCATATTCAGCAGGCATCATGGGCCCTAATGGAATCTGTTTATCGAGAGGCCTCCACACGCATGATTCTGATTGGGGACTTGAAGGCTCTATTATGGGGCGTCAGTCGGCGCGAGTGCTCAGCGAGTAGATGAGATTGACCATGTCAACTTGTCTGGACATATGTATGTATAGATGGATGCAAAATGGCGAAAAGGAGTGCAGGGTGATATGCAGCAATGAAGTAATGACGATGGAATATTGATGGAATAAAGAGTAGAGGAGGGATCGCGGCGAAGACCGACCGTTTATGACATGTCGACCACCCCTCGTTATTACGGCAAGTATTTTGACTGTTCGCCCTCCTTCTCATATCATCCGACATTCCTCCAACCATCAGCTGAAAGCAATCACGGAAGAACACACCTCCTCTCCCAGCTGACCGCCTCTTCTCGGAAAAAGAAGCTGGCCAAACCATCGCAACCACAAACCCAAGCTGCCTGAGCTGCCCAGGCCGGACAAGAGGGAAGGAGCAGGAGAGGTCTTGCTCTGGGATATGAAGTGATTGAATTTGGGGAGGATGACGGTGAGCTCTTTTCAAGTTGCATGGTGGATTGGTCGCTGGCAGCTTGTAGATTCGGCGCCGCCGCTCTCGGTTTTTTATACACCTTCGTCCCATCCGAAGCCTGCTCAGGCTCATCCCCAGTGATTTGCCCGCAAAGTCTCTCTCGGTTGGTTTTCCCCTCGTACAAACGTTTCTGGGCTCTGACTCATTGGTGTACAGGATACTGCCGTCGTCATAGTTTTGGACTGGACGAAACCACAGGCGATGGTGAGCTTGACCTCTTCACGGATGATTTCGTGGGCTAATGGCATACATGGACAGCTCCAAGAGCTATCAACATGGCTCTCATGAGTAGATACATGGGCACCCGAGGCAGGCGAGAGGGGTGAGGTAGAAGAGCTGCATGAGCGACGTGAGTCAACCCCATCTCGAGAAAAAAAAACATCAAGACTGACAACGAGTAGTGCAATCACACTTGCAGCACTATACCGAGCCGTCACCCGCCGTTGTTGGTACGACCACGTATGCTGTTGTCGAGCCTCTGTTGCCACTTGGCTCTGATACTTTTCCCTCAACACGTTCGTCCTCTCCCAACTTCACGCGTTCGAAGCACACTGACGATATCACAGCTCATGAATCCCTATCGTTGTGGTTTGCACGAAGACCGATTGCATGCATAATGCTGCCGAGGATGTGGGAGTGAAAGGTAGACACTGGGAAGAAAAGACAGATCGAGCACAGCAGGCACTGAGAACTGTCTGTTTGGCCTGTATGTTCACCCTATCTTCATCGACTATCATACTGATCATCGATCCAGATGGCGCTGCTCTGTTCTACACTGCCCCTACCCAGCCTACGACATGCTCTCCTGAAAAGATATCTCCTCCACAGACTGTATACCGTCCCGCCTCCACTGAATCCGCCACCAACCTCCCCAATCACCGTATCCGCACCCGCCATCGTCGGCTCTACCAAATTCTTCTTCAACCACCGAGCCCACGTGCTTGACAGAGACGCTGTCATGGTACCCAGCGGATGGGATAGTTGGGGCAAGATCAATGTTTTGAGCGATGGTTTCGACCCCGCACTGGTGGAGAAGGGTTGGAAAGCCAGCTTGAGCAGATATAATGCCCAGTCTGCGGGTCAAGAGCCTGAAGAGGATGATGGAGAACCTCTCGAAGAGCTCTGGCAGGCGCTTCTTCCCTCCTTCGCGTCTCCTCCCCCGCAATCTCCTGTCCACCTTACGACAGTCACCGAGCCCTCCCAAAACTTCCTCTCCCTCCAACTCGACCTCCTCATGAAAGACCGCAGCCAATTCCCGCCAATCTTTCCGCCACGCCCCTTCCGCCACCTCATCATGTAACGTTCCCTCTGGTTTTAGCTTGCCTGGTGCTGAGAAGGTCATGCAGGAGATGGAAAGTCGGATTGCGGAAGGAGATGATGAGAAGGAAGGAGAGTTAAAGGACAAGTTTGCGAGGCTGGGGAGGAAGGATGGGAAAGCTGCGCCGGGGACGCCGGCACCTGTTATGCCTAACGAAGCGTTGCACAACTTTGTAAGTCCCACGCCGAACGTAATGAAACGTCTAGCTGACAGACTTGGCAGTTCCAGGGCTTTCTGGCGAACAGGGGCAAGACGGGGGTAGTGCTGAAGGGACTCCTACGAAGGGAACCAGTGCTGAAGGGGCGGGGAAGGGCAAGTAGGCAGATGTGCGGAGGTACAGACATGTGGAGTGATCTGTATGACGACCATCAACACGACTCGTGCAAATTTGGCTTCTCTACTCTTTCTTCCATTATGTCCACAAGCTGGCTACCGCTTCTCGAGTAGTACCCAATATGATAGTATCCAATATCTAATTCTAGAGATGTCGCATCTGTGGTCAGACCCCAACACCATAGCCTAGCACTTGAGGCGCCTGAGGCCGACCCCGAACCCACGCGCACGGTCCTTCTACGCTGCGTCCACGCTGCAATCGGACGCCTGATATCCATGAGTGAAGGAATGTCCATAGGTTACATGATACTAGAAATGAATGTCCACAAGTTACATGACACTAACCCGCCAGCACCCAGCTCTCCCGTCCCCGACACCTACCCCCTCCCCAGCGCCCCACCCCAGCCAAATTTAGCTGCCCGCGCGAGCAACACATCTACCTCCATGGGCGTAGCCAGTACGAAGGTGAGACCAGTCCCGAGAAGTAGTCGATATATTCGGCGTGAGTCCAGTATTTGAGGGGAAGGACTTGCTCGGCAGTGGTGAAAGAGAGAGGATTGGGAGGGAGGGCCGTATGGATGAATGTAATATCGGTAGAAGCCTCCTGTTCAACAGACAAACACCACTTCTTTACACTGCCTGGATGTTCCATTTTGAAGAGTGAGGGTATTGTCGAAAAGGAAGACGGCGAAAGTGTTGAGGGAGATGAAGGGAATGGTGAAGATGTAATGATTGGTTCAGGAGTGGGGAGCAAGTACTCGGTCGGTCCTAGATTCAAGTCAGACTAGAGCACCATCGAGACAAAGCCGAGGACTCACGAGAGACATCGGCCCTTTTCTGTCTTTTCCTAGACGACTCCTGATCTTGATGGCTCCTGGTTCTCCCACCGCCGGGACCACCAGTTTTACCATCAGGATTCCCGTCGTCCTCATCGCGCCTATCGCCACCCTGTTTGTTGTTCTCATCCTCCTCCTCCTCTTCATCCCTCTCCTCTTCATCCCTCTCCTCTTCATCCCTCTCCTCTTCATCCCTCTCCTCTTCATCCCTCTCCTCTTCATCCCTCTCCTCTTCATCCCTCTCCTCTTCATCCCTCTCCTCTTCATCCTCCTCCTCTCGGCGTCCTCCCATATTCTCGCTGACATCGAGCCACTGATATGCCACTTCCTCGGAGGTGTTTGCGTCGATGACGTTTTCGAGGGAACGGTCATCGATGGGAGGATCTGGGACGGTCTCCGGATGATGGGTAGCAAGGGCAAGGTTCAGATTTACAGTGGCATCGAGGCGCTCCTTAGCCTCTACATCCAAAGCCCTGTTCTCGTAATTTGCGATGAGGGAATTCGGTGCTTTCCACTGGATACCGAGAAAAGAAACTCCTGCGGCGAGTTCGCCAAATTGCAGGATTGACTAAAGAGAACTTGGTGGCCTTCATGATCCCCTGCCTTGAAGCAATCGACGCATAGTGAGACTGCGGACGCTACAATGTCAGGAGTTGTTTGCCAGTGCACCAGATGTGACTCACTTGCAGGTATATGTCCTCTCATGCATCTGAAAGACCTTGCCGCCGGTATGCCTCGCTGTTGCCTCGCTGGGTGTCTCTCTCATACTCCTCTCTCATCATTGGATATTTGGTCCAGTTATGTTACGTAACTACTTGACTGCTCCAATAAGACAACACCGCAAACATCTCTTTCATCTTTCATTTTCCGTCTCGTTCATCATTTCCCATCTCATCCGCACCCTTCGTCTCAATGGCCGACGGCATGCCCCACGATATCCCCTCCGCTACTGTCCGCCTTATAGCTTCGATTCGCCTTCGCCCTGTCACGTACGATCGACACTACGTCTCTCCGGGTTTCAGCCAAACATCAGCCGATAATCGAAACGCGTACTTACAGCCTTTACAACATGCGGTCTTTCAACAAAACCCCCGCCTGCTCCACCAGATCTTCCACAACAACATGTATCCGGTCCCAGATGCCGATCTGGATCAGTCCATCACAGCCGCTGTGACCGCTCGTATCAGTAGTGATGGCGCAGATCGCCATCACCGCGATCTAGAGGCTGAGATCGGCCTGCAGAGCCTCATTGTCGATTTCCCGGCCAAAATATGCGAGTTACTGGCAGGGAAATCGTCCGAAACTCGATTGCACTCGCGTGTGTGGCGTATCCAAGGCCTCGGAGTCGTTCGCCCCGACATCATCCTACGAACCACGTCGACTCGGGACAAAAAAATAATCGTTAGCATCGAGGTTAAAACCAGCAAAGAGCTGTCGGTGGAAGAGATGGAGATGCTCGTTGAAGCAATCCGTCACGATTTGGTGTCGGTAGGGCGTGACGGGAACGGTAACCTGATCGTGACGATAGATTGGGACCGTATGCCGCCACAGTACCCGCGCATTGGGCAGAGGGATCGAAATCACCATATCCGGGTTTGTGCTATCCTCAGCCAGGTACGTGGATCTAGGGACACCTGCGCTTCGTGTTGACATTTCGCTCCAGACTCTGTGTTATCTCGTCCACAACCGTTGCAACCACGGCGTCATTACAAATTATGATGCGTGGATTGCCCTTCACGTAGCCGGAACGCGCGCCTCTCCCATCCTACAGGTCTCGGATGTACTCTACAAGAATGATCAACCGACGGAAGACTCCCCTTGGTCCTCTCCGTTGGGATTACTTATATGCTATCACTTCCTCCGACGCCCGGGGCGAATTGTTCTACCCAACGTGTCCAAGTTGAGAACAGCCGTCAAACAGGGGGTCTCACAAGGACGCCCGTCGAGGGGCACAGGGGGTCCTGCCAAGATTCAATCGTCACAGCATCCTACCCCTCAATCAGAGGCCGGGCTTTTCAGCAAGCGAATCGGCGGATCTTTCAAACGGAACGCCCATCAAGATGGGACCCGCTCAACTGCCAGTGCTGGCTATAGTCACAAGTTGCAACAATTACCTGCGCAGAATATGGTGCGTGTTCAAGTGAAGCTGATACCTCAGCCGTACGTTGACAACGGTACAGGTCACCCCACCGCTCATTCACTCGTTGACCGGCACTGATTCCAGCCCAGTGAGTCTTCTCTGTCCTGTCTGTAAGTTTTGACTGACATCACCTTAGGAACAACCATCTCCAGACGACATTCCCATCACACGTCCTTTCCAAATTGAGGGCTTAGGAGTAAGTTTGTCTCACTATATATCGGTTGCTGCAAGCACAGATACTGATGTAATGTATAGAGGCAGGACGAACGTGCAGGGGTCAGCCTCGTTCTTGACTTTGATCGCATACGACTGTCGCAAGCCGCCGTCGGCGGGTGCCGTTTCCTTCACTTTATGCCGAGCCCAAGTCTTCCCTTTCTAAGGCTAGATCTACACGATGAAGCCGGATATCTCCGTCATCCTCAGTCTAACAAATATCCCTCCGACGATACGATTCTCTCCGATGCTTTCGAGCACGATCCTCCCACATCCGGCTTTGTCGTCAGCGACGGCCTTTCGCATGACGTTAACGGATACTCGCTTGCGTCTCATACGGATATCTGCTGGACCACAACAATAACCTTGGAGGAGCCGTTGGACTCTGGGGCTGTATGGGACGTTTACTACCCTTCGTCTCCACTCCAGACATGCGTTGTCAAAGTCTCGGCGCCGGAAGCCTTTCCAGATGACTCTGATGTCCCAGTGTATGGCTGTATAACCCGTGCAAAGGCACTGCATTCGATCTCGAGGGAGTTGTTGGTTTACAACACGAATCTCCTCGATCTACAGGGCACAGTAGTCCCTAGACTGTGGGGGATGTGGAAAGGCAGCCAACCCAACCCCGACGGCGGCACGATTGACCTGTACATCTCCGTGATGAGCAATCCAGGCTGCATGTTGGCCCGCAACGAATCGGACTATAACGCGGAGTCTGACTGCAACGGATCGGACCATAACACAGAGTCTGACTGCAACGAATCAGACTACGCAGAGTCTGACTGCAACGAATCGGACTATGACACAGAGTCTGACTGCAACGAATCGGACTATAACGGGGAGTCTGACTGGAGTGTAGAAGAAAAGTGAGTGCTTAAGATTTCCAAAACATGTCGACCATATTGATCACACCGCGGTGATCGTTTGGACCCGGCTGATCTTTTTCAGAATGGTCATAGTGGCACAGTATACACGGCTGCATAACGCCGGTGTTCTTCACGGTGATGTCTCGCCTAGACATTGGATCAGAGCCGCTGGTGTTCCATTGCCAACAGACTCGACCTCACCGCCGACACCCTCCATTTTCCTCATCGACTTTGGATTCAGCGTGACTATCGATATGCTTGGGAAAGATGCATGGGAGCAGGAGACGAGGAAGGAAATGCAGCTGGTTAGGAGTTACCTTCACCTTTGAGCGATGCGTGTGGTGGTAGTCTACGTTTTGAGGCTGAGAAACAGATTGACCTTATGTATATTCAACGACTATTTATACCCGTTACCAACAGTGCCTGTTGACCAATCTTATGTATTGATACCCGTTACCAACAGTGCCTTGACCAATCTTATCACCGTGGATCGCGCAAGTCACGCTGAGCTAGGCTACACAGCGCAAGCTCTCATCGCATCAGATTTTCTGATCTGTTTCTCCCGGATAATCAACTTTATCTTCTGGATAGTTTGTTACATATCTCACAAGTATCAGTCCCGCTCGACAACTCGCGGGCAAAGTCTTTGAAACTGATTACAAAATGCAAGTTACTTGTACATGTACGTACGTACCGGCGATAGCAGCAGGAAAGTACGTGAAGTGAGTCTGGTTTGCTCGGGCTCTCCGCAGCTGCAGGACATAGCTAACGACCCCATCTCCTCCAGACTGGATACCCCCGCTTCCGCTGGCAACTCCAGTCTCACAATCCTCTCATCCGCGATCCCATCCATCCCATTCCTGCGCACATGGCCCAACAAGAACCTCTGCTCGTCGTCCTCCTCTTCATCCGCTCCCCCGATGCTCCTCCCTGCGTAGCGCTCTGCAATCCTTCGCCTCGCACTTCTCCGCCGCCATCTTGCAGAAGACGTGTTGGATAAGATCACGTTCGACGAGCCGGGGCTTGACCACAAGCAGATCATGCCCGTCCCGGAAGCTCGACCTGAGGTGACCGTAGATGGTGGAGAAGAGAGTGATGATATCGCCTCCTCGGGCAACCAGCAACCAGCCGTTGAGCTGCTCGACGGTGTTACCGGACACGAGACCGAAGCGTGCGATGGGAAAAGCGCGGCGAGCATAGAGCGCGGTGTCGAAGGTGTCGATGTAATTGCGCGCAGGCTCGGCAAGCTTGGCCCTGTGCCGCTGAAATTCCTCTGGCGTCTCCGTCCAGATCATCCTCTTAAGGTCTTCACCGTTACAGATCAGATGGACAGCGCAGTGGCTGGGTGTCGCGAGCGGGAGGACGTTGGAGATAGCGGGGACGAGACCCTGGTGGCAGAGAGTATCAGCGCTTTGCCCCATCGTCTGTTGAGCTCGCCAAAGAAGATACTGCTCACCTTGCCCCTATCGCTCATGATCACCGTAACCTTGCTGTCCAGCCCAGGGTCTCCGTTACGATAACATGAATGAGGTTCTACGTCGGTCAGCGCGAGTGCTCAGCGAGTACCTGGGAGTAGATGAGACTTACCATGTCGGCTTGTCTGCACATACGTATGTATAGATAGATACAGAATGGCGAAAAGGAGTGCAGGGTGATACACCGTATGCAGCAGATGGGCTCAGATAGCGCAGGTGTAAAATGAGCCAGGCACGGACGCGTAAATTGCAGACATGAGGCCAATTCGCGTCTCTCTTCCATCCTCTTTCTTTCTTTCTTCATCCCCCAATGTCCTCCCGGTATGTTCCCTCCTCTCCCCCTCTCTCAAACTGACCATCCCTAGGCCTGTGGTGCGCAAGACATACGGCAAAGCGCCCCCTCGCTCATCCAGCACCGTCTCCCTATTCGACGCGTCGCCCCCTCCCACGCCGTCTCTCGCTGGACCGTCCTCCAGCGCGTACCGCTCAAGCTCGCCTTCTTTTGATCGCTTGGATAGTCCTCTGGGAAGCAGTCCGCCCCGTGCAGTGAGGGAGAGGGATGGTACGCCGCTGTTCTTTTCTTGTGATGAAGAGGAGGAGGAAGAGACGCGTCCGTCGCGTGATGGATTGGTGAAAGAGCAGTCTGTGAAGGCAAAAGCAAAGGCCCCGGTCAAGGTGGTGAAGAAGACGGAAATGCAGTCGTCTTTGAAAGGCTTCTTTGCGTCGTTGCCGAAGCCCAAGAAACGCCCGCTCGAGCCGTCCCCAGCCAACTCGTCCCCCTCGCCCTCGTCAAGATCTCCCTCCAGCATGCTCGGTCTATCACGCCCTGCCAGCATCACCAAATTCATCAAGACGCCCACCCCCACGCTTAGCGCTCCCGGTAAAGAAAACAAATCCACCACCCGCAAGCCCGTGCAAATGCGCCTCACCCACCTGCCTCTTTTACACACCTGTCCCCAGTGTGGCATGTCGTTCATGCGCGGGGGAGAGGATGAGGCGGTGCATAGAGTGCACCATACGCGTGTGCTAAGGGGGATTGTGTGGGAGGGTGTCAAGGTGAAGGGAAAGGGGAGAGAGGAGGGGTGGAGGGTGGTGGCTGACGATGTCGAGTTTGGGGAAGGAAAGGGCAAGGGCCGGGGGAGGGTTGTGGTTGTTGATGGATCTGTCGGCGGGCCCAAGGTATGTCATGTTTAAGCGTGCATGGACATGGCTAACAGGTACCAGATCAATGAAATTCTTTCCACGGTCGACCTCGTCCTCTCTGCCCCGGCGCTTCCTCCACCAATCCTCGCCAAATGCAAAATCTTTCTCTTCCTTACATCCTCGCCCCCTCCTCCTCCCTCCGAATCTACAGCCAAACGTCAAAAACTCGACCCTACGCTAGTAAAGGCAAACAAGGACGGGAAAGAGCGCGTGATCAGTGTGGTAGTCGCGCAGGGGATCAAGTGGGCTATGCGCGTACTGAGGGATGGGCAAGGAGTAGAGGGAAAGGAAAAGGTGGTCGAAACGGGCGGTTTTGGTAGCGTTTCGTGCGAGTAAGTCACCGTACCTAGCTCATGTACACTGCTGACCAAACGCAGACCAACGCATCTCCCAACGCCCCTTGGCATACATCGCCTCTATACCATTCCCTCATACCGCTCTCACCACCTCTCTACGCATCTGCTCAATGCAGCGTGCGCGCACACAGTGTATGGCTGCGAGCTCGACCCGAAAAAGGGACAGGTGGCGTTCAGCCAGCCGACGGAGAGTGGGCGAAAGATGATGGAGCGGTGGGGAGGGGGCGAGGTGAGGGTTTTTGTGGACGATGAGAGTCAGCTTTGATACTTTTGGTGCGATACTTTTGGTGCTGTGCTGTATTGCTTTATAATGTATACACTTGATGACATGGCGTAATTCTCGACCATTACATTTTGTCCGCTTGATAAATTTCGTCCGACAATGACTCGGTACTTGGCGTTCTTTGCCAGATTTTTCTCGCGCTGATGGCTGCTGAGTCGAAGCGTACAGGCTGTCAGAGGCGATAGGCGCTTGCTGCTAGGACTGTGGCCGGGTATCATGATTCGTTTTTCGGCTGAAGCGAGGACGGCCGCGGGGTCAGCGATCTGCAATCTCCCCAGCTCAGGGGATATCGGCCGGACGATAGGCGAGTTTGCGGCGAGTTTGTAATCCATTTTCTATACATTAGCAATTGATTAGCAATCATCCTTAACCGGCGAATGGGGTTGCTAATGCGGGCTCGCTTCGGCAGCTTATCAAGAAAAGAGAGCTGGAACATTCCCCGTCGCTCAAATTCGCATCTCTTTTCTCTTTTGCCTCTCATCCGTCTCCACCATTCTTTCCAGGTCAGCCCGCCCAGCCCGCGCACTCGCGAGAACACTCCCCCGCCACTTCACACCCACCCGCGCAGCCCACTCCGCCCCGCCCCCACCACCCAAGACAGCAACTCCCAGAGGCATATCTGCCATCCCCATCCCAGACAACAACAACAACAAAGACTCTATCGCAAAAATGGCCCCCATCCCTGCCGAAATCAAGGTCCAGGAGCCCAAGCGCACCGGCGAGGTCAGCAAAAAGTTCCACACCAAGGTCGTTATCATTGGCTCTGGTCCTGCTGGCCACACTGCTGCCATCTACCTTGCTCGAGCCAACCTCGAGCCCACCCTCTACGAGGTGAGTCTCCGCGGTATACTGTGCCGTAAACAGAGCTGACAAAGAGTGCAGGGTATGCTTGCCAACGGGTATGTTTCGACTGACACGGCTCTGCAGCCAATAGCTGACCAATCGCAGTTTTGCCCCCGGAGGCCAGCTCACCACCACCACCGAGGTCGAAAACTTCCCTGGTTTCCCCGACGGTGTCACTGGTACCGAGATGATGGACAAGTTCCGTGCTCAGTCGTGAGTATTCGTTCCATCTCGCCCATCTCCGGCGAATCGGACTATTGGCTGATGGCCCCTGCAGCGAGCGATTCGGTACCAAGATCATCACCGAGACCATTGCCCGTGTTGACCTCTCTGTCCGACCCTTCAAGTTCTGGACTGAGGGTGAGGAGGAGGAGGCCGACTTTATGACTGCCGACTCGTGAGTATCGGGTATCTACGGGGATACTGAATGCTGACCCGGTCCAGTCTCATCATTGCCACCGGTGCTTCCGCCAAGCGTCTCTTCCTCCCCGGCGAGGACACTTACTGGCAGTCTGGTATCTCTGCTTGTGCCGTCTGTGACGGTGCCGTCCCCATCTTCCGAAACAAGCCTCTCGCTGTCATCGGTGGTGGTGACTCTGCCGCTGAGGAGGCTACTTGTGAGTCAGATACACGTTGTAGGGATTCGGCTGACCAAAAGCAGACCTTACCAAGTACGGTTCTCACGTCTACGTCCTTGTCCGAAAGGACGAGCTCCGAGCCAGTAAGATCATGGCCAAGCGTCTCATTTCTCACCCTAAGGTGACTGTCCTCTGGAACGTAAGTCGCTCCACTTGCCCTTTTCGACCCTACTGACAATGCCACAGACCGTCGCTACCGAGGCCAAGGGTGACGGTGACCTCCTCAACGCCCTTACCATCAAGAACGTCAAGACTGGCGAGACCTCTGACCTCCCCGTCAACGGTCTCTTCTACGCCATCGGCCACGAGCCTGCCACTGCCCTCGTCAAGTCTCAGCTCGAGCTCGACGCCGACGGCTACATCAAGACCGTTCCCGGTACCGCCCAGACCTCTGTCCACGGTGTCTTTGCCGCTGGTGATGTGCAGGACAAGAAGTACAGGCAGGCGATCACCTCTGCCGGTTCAGGGTGTATGGCTGCGCTCGAGGCCGAGAGGCTCATCAGTGAAGAAGAGGCCGACGACGAGCAGCTCAAGACTGAGGAAGTCCACGTTCCTTCTCAGCATTACATGGGTACCGACAAGGAGTGATAGAAAAAAGTAGATTGTAATGTTGTTTAGACTTTAATATGCAGGGGCAATAGAATGCATTCTTGGCTGTATTCCAATCGTGCTTGGTGACAACAGGATGCATATGAAAAATCTTTTTCTGGAGCTTACATGCCGCCCATTATGTCTCTAAGGGCAGCGTCGGCCGCAGCGTCGAGATCAGCAGGAGGAGGAGGAGGAGGAGGAGCATCAGGCGCAGGAGCAGGAGCGCCGTCCTCTGGTGGGGGAGGCGGCGGCGCAGGGCCAAGGAATTCTTCCTACAATCATCGTCAGATGCGTCACTAAACAATTTAAAAAAGGCTCACCTCGGACACGCTAGCCACAAGAATCGTCCTACCCGCAAACTGTCTCCCTCCAAGCGCCTTCATCGCCTTTTGCGCCCCCTCCACATCCTTGTACAGCACATACACCCTACCCACACCCGCTTCATCATCCGTCTGCTTTGCCCTGTCCGCTGTCGCCTGCGCATCCTGCGTGCTTTCCCACTTTTTACTCTTGGGTACTGGCCGGGGAATGCGCACACCTTCGATTTCGCCGTATTTGGAGCACTCGTCGTTAATGTCTTCGAGGATGTCGGCATACTCTTCGTCAGAGTAGAGCTCTTCCGGGGTGACCATGTTGAGGAGGAGCATGACACGAGAGGGGGGAGCGTCGGCGCTGTTTTGGAGAAATTGGGGGACTGAAAATGTCAGCGGTGCTCAGGCTCAAGAAGAGAGGACTCACTTTGACTGAGGAAAGAAGCAGAACCGGGGATTGGCATGTTGACACCATTAGTCCTACCCACAGCGGCCCTCTGTACCACCAAATGCCTATCGCCAAGCGCAAAGTTGTGCAATCCCTGGATAGCCATGTCCGTCACCTCTGGATCCAGATACTCGGCAAACGCGAAACCCTTTGAAACGCCCGCTCCTTCCTTGACCAAGTTGAAACTTCTCAGTTCACCGAAAGACTTGAGAAGCTCCATGACTTGGTCGTCAGTGAGGTAGGTGGGGATACCACCGACAAAGAGCTTGTTGGGAGAGTCGGCGACAGAGGGGTTGACGACGCCATTGAAGGTCTGGAGGAGAGGGTCGATACCGGCATAGTCTTTGGGTCGCTTCAACGAAAGCGCGTGACCATCGAGCTCGACACCGTCAAATTCAAGAGCAGAGTCGACTAGTTCAGGCTTAGAGAACTGTAGCAAGTCAGCTCGTCCCTATTTATAGATAAACGACGCACCTCGAGGAAGGCAAAGTTCTTGTCATTGTTGATCTGACACTCAATAACAGCCTCTTCACCCTCTCCGACCAGCTTCTTTTCAACACAAAGCTTGTTGTAATGGTCTTGGATCTGCTTCTCCGTCATCTCTCCGTTGATACCACCGACATACAGACGCTTGTTGGTCCTGATGGGGTTGCTGGGAGGGAAAGAGCCGGCGACAAAGGTGGCGGGAATACCGAGATGGGCAGGGGGAGGTACTCGGCCAGGACCATAGGTGAACAGACCAGTCGCCTTGGCTTCGATAGCGCTAACATTGGCGAATTGCTCGGGCGCAGTGTCCCATAGCGACCTCGACAGCTTTTCCTTCCTCTCCTCCAAGCTCAAAGTTCCCTGCGGCGTAGGGCTTCTCCTTTCCTCGTAGAACCTCCCTCCACCCCCACCCCCTCGCCTGTCATTGCCCCTACCTCCACGCCAATCATCGTCCCGCCTTCCTCCTCCCCCTCCACCTCTTCTAAAGTCTCGAGGCGGCGACCAGCTGCGCATAGGCGCGGCAGAAGCAGCAGGGTCTTCATCGTATCGCGGTCGGCGGTCGCGGTGGGTAGTCATAGGCTCCGCAGCGATCCCTACATCGTCCTCTTCTCTACGCCTTCGGCGGGGAGGTCTGTCGTCGTATCCAGGAGGAGGATATCGATCTCTTCCATCCCTCCCACTACCTCGGTCGTCTCTGTACCCTCGCCCATCTCGGTCTCGCTCGCGCCTGTCGCCCCCGCGGTCGCGGTCTCCCCGGTCTCTATCGCTTCGATGATAGTCGCGCTCACTTCGTTCGCGGTGACGGTCGTTCCTTTCGCGGTGGGAATGGCGGTCCGCATCACGGTCGTAATCTCTTTCGCGGTGGCTGCTTCGGTGGCTTCGGGCTGGGCGTCATCAGCCTACTGCTTGTCTCTCATGAAGATGAGATACTTACAGTCGTCGTCGCGATCTCTGTTTTTAGAGTAGCTGGAAGCAGCTTGCTCGAGGGCGTCTACATACATTCATTAGCTGTACTCTTCTCCTCCATGCCGTACACAAGTACTGACCGTATCCAGCGTCCATTTTTGAATCTGTTGAGCGATCCAGCTGTAAACAATCTCTCTGTGGCTTCGTTGATGCTCGCGGCTGGCTAGTAACGGGAAATCACGGCGTTATTTTTGTGTGGCAAGTCACTCAACGATGTGCAAGTTTTGTATTTTGGTGTCTACTGCTCATCCAATAGAGTCAATCGAGTGGCCCTACTTGTATGTATGTGGTAAAATGGCAGGGGAATATGTTGAACTTTTCCAAGACACTCGTAAATCTCAGAGCCGCGGGCAGTGGGTATATGGGCAGCCCCGCCTGCTGTGTCATCCACGCATCTCTTCTGACTGTATATACACGACCTACTAGGCGAGTTGGTTGCGTCTGTATACATCCCGTCGTTTTGTGCTGCCACATTTGCAGGACCTCTCCCTCTCATATCCTTCGCTTGCGAAGAGCTACTTCTGCTGGAATGTCAAAGTACATGCAGTGGAACCTATTTTAGATTTACCAGTAGCTAGCCAGTTTCTACAGGTTCCCGTTCCGCCCCAGTCCTCTTTTCTGACCGGAGCATATCTTGAGCTGAGCTTACAAAGGCATAGTCACAACATCGTGATCGGGGATATGCCCTTTTGACTTTGCTGCTTGGTCCCAAGACCTTTGTGTCTCCCGGAAGTTGCTGCCGAATGTGCCTCAAAGCCTCAGGTCCTCCCTTTTTCAACACCATTGTCTGTGTTGGATGTGTAGATGTGAATTGGATTGACTCGAAAGTGTCCACAATAGAAGAAGGGATGTCTATTTGTTGTCGGACCCGATGAGCTGTGGCCGTGGCCCGTGGGTGAGTATGTCCCAGCAAGACAGCGCACTGGGCAAGAAGGGCCTAAAGATATCACAAAATGTTCTGACTGCGTACAATAATGACTACGTGAGTATAGCATAGACGCCCTTGCGATGTCTCCCCACTCCACAAGTTGGAGCATTCCCAGACTACCGCCACTCTTGCGCGAATCTTTCCTCTTACCCACAATCTTGGGTGCCTCCTCGCAGCAGTCGTCCGTATACCCGGCAAATGAGATGATGCATGTCCTCGGCCAGATGTATACGAGTTGATGCATCAACATCCAGATGCATAGCCGGTGCATAGCCCTGAGCCTCCTCTCGCCACCGGATCTCTTGGCGGGATTTGATGCCGTGATGCTTATCTGCAGTCGCCGGAAAAGCAACCGCTGGATGAGAGTAAAAACAAAAGCCAGCCTCAACAAGGACACCATTATCCCATCCATCCCATCTCCTCTGCCGCGCGCTATACCCCCAGCATCACCCGCCCTGCCCGCATCATGGGCGCGCACCTCTGAGGGCGTCTCTGCGACTCTGCGTACTCACATCCTTCAGCACACCCGATCGTCCCCAGTGCCTGCTCGGCACCATCAGATCTCCCGCCTTCTGAGGGGAACCCATTCACAACTCTTATCTCGCTTTCTCTTCTCTCCACAACGCCATGTCCAGGTCTCGTCCACCGCCACTCCTCCCCTTCTCCTCCCAGGAGACCAGCCTCTCGTCCTCCTCTACATTCGCCCCCTCAGCGCCCACCCCATTCAACACCTACTCGTCCGACAATGCCTTTGCCGAGCAATCATTTACCGGCCCTGGGGGCGAAGAACCAGTAACCCACGATCCAGATCTGTCTGAAGAGATAATGTACGATCCGCATCTAGGCATAGATAGCCATACCGTCCCGTCCGCTGCGACGCCCTCATCATCAATACGGCGGGATAACTCGATAGCATCTCACGCATCTTCGCGGTTACTCCCGTATCGGAGACCAGGCTTGGCCGTATCGACGTCGAGCGATATCCCCTTTTCGTCCCGTCCCATTCCTGCGCCCCCGATTGCCATCATACGGTCAGGTATCGATGCCGCCGAGCATGCTCATGATGCGGACCTGTCTCCGACGTCGGTATCGACAGCGCTAGCAACGCCGCCTCCAGCAGTCAAGTTTGGGACAGACTTGGAAGAGCACGATAGTCGTCATGGGCCAGGAGGAGTGGATATCGACGGGGTGCGTCTGGAGGCTCTTGGGTATGATCCCGTTCTGGGGCGGACCTATACTTTTTGGTCGAGCTTGGCCATCAGCTGGCTGAATACTGGCACTTTACAGGCAAGTGGCTTTTTAGACAAGAGACTCACGGCTGACAGTGATGTAGGGCACAATATTCGCAGTGTCTGGTACATACAGCTATGGTGGGCCCATCATGATCCTTGTCGCCTGGCCGCTCGCCGGTATCTTTACCTTTGCCCTCACCCTCACACTTTCCGAGTTATCATCAGCGTATCCAGTCGCGGGCGCCATGTTCTCATGGACGTGGAAGGCTGCTAGAGGCGGAATTGGGGGTGAAAGGGCCTGGGCGTGGCTGGTCTCGGGTTTCGTGATGGGAGGACATGTCGGAAATGTACGTCCGCCATCCATTCAGGATCACGGCTGATACTGCTTCAGATACTGTTAGTCACATGGGAAATAGCCAACATAGTCGTTGGGACGATAAGCCTCTCGATAGATTTCGAGCACAACGCCTGGTACAATTTTCTTCTCTTCCTCGGCGTCCTCCTTCTGGTCGGGACCGTCGGCTCCACTGGTTGGGGCCAATCGCACAGGTTTTGGCTTTGCGGCGGCGCGTTCGGCTTTACTGCCTGGCTCGTGCTCTGCATCACCCTCCTCGCTACCAACGCTACGAAACACAATCCCAGCGACATGTTTAAAGAGTTTTACAACACCACTGGGTGGAGTTCGAGGGCCTATGTGTACTTTTTGGGGTGGCAGTTTACGTCGATAGCAAGTGGGGCGGATGCCTCAGCGCATATGGCAGAAGAGACGCAGAACCCATCGAGGAATGTTCCTAATGCCATGTCGACTTCTATAATTGCTGTGAGTGGTATACGTCCTGTCTGAATTCTTCTGACCTGGTACAGACTTATGTTCTTGGTTACATTGTATGGTCTACGCCACAATACGTTGATTGGTACTGACGAGACACAGTCTATCGTATTGTTGCTGTTATCGATATCGCCTGAAGACGCGGCGACAGTCAAGTCACACTCTTTCCCCTTTGTACGTCCATCCCCAAGTGACGTTCCCAGTTGACGCCCGCAGGGCTATATTCTCACCGAAGCCATCTCCCGCCCGGGTGCCATAAGCATCTGCATCCTCATGATCCTCGTACTCGTCCTGCAAGTCCTCGCGCAACTCCAAGCCTCCTCCCGATTCGTTTTCGCCCTCGCCCGCGAAAACGGGATGCCCTTCTCCTCCATCATCAGACGTACCAACGGCCACCGGCGGCCTGTATTTGCCGTCTGGCTTCTCGTCGTCGTTTGCGCGCCATTTGCGTGCATGACGTTGGCAAGTGAGAGCACGCTGTACTCGGTATTGGCGGTGACGGCTTGTACACTGAGTTATGTGGGGTATGCGGTACCGGTGGGGCTGTATCTGTTTTCGAGGATCGATCTGCAGACGGAAGGGAGGAGCTTGTGGTCACTCAGAAAGTGGAGCAAACCGATCGCTGTCGTGGGCCTGCTTTACTCTCTCGCAGTAGTCATTGTCCAGACTCTACCCGGCTCGAAACCCGTACGCGCCAGTACCATGTCTTGGTCCCCCGTCATCATCGTCGGCACGATCTCCATGTGTTACCTTACCTGGAAGTCGTACGGCGACAAACACTTTGCCGGGCCGATCCGCGCAATCACAAAGTGGGAAAGCGGAGTCGAGATAGACCTCGGCAAAACGCTCGCTTCCTCTCGCTCAAAATTTTCCGACGGCTCGCGAAAAGGCGGGGGTGGCGACGAGACATATGATTCTTTGAAATTGGCTTTATCGCCGTATCACCCGTCAGCTGGGCCCGGGCGGGAAGAGGGCACGGGCGGGATGACGGGGGTGACGGTGCAGAGTGCTGGTCGGTCGGGGATGACGAGTGAGGGAGAGTGGACGAGTGGGAGTGAGAGTGAGAGCGCTTCGGGGTGGACGAGGTCTGCTGCGGAGAGTAGGCAGGCGAGGAGTGCTCCGCGGTGAACGTTAGATGGTTTATCTTTTTCTTGGTCAAATCATTTTCGAGTATCATTTTCTTTATGGGTGTTTAGTCTTGTGCCAAAAAAAGGGGTTGTACGTAGCCTTCTCATAGAGACCATATTCCTTGGTCCCCTGCTGGATAGGATCCATCAAGGGCGTTGTAGCATTAAAGGCTTTATATCTGGCTTTTCCAGTCGATCTCTCAACAAAGTTGCTTTAGAGTGTGCACAGGGTTTTTGATTGTATGTAAAGAATTCTCGGATCATACAAGAGCTATTTGAAATATGTCTGGCTATACTGCAAGTCGTCCAACAATCCCCTGCCCTTGACTTTCCACCCAGTCAACTGCTTGGTCAACTCGTTGTTACCCTTAGCCGCATACTCCGTCACCTGGCCCAGAGGCCATTGGTAGTATTCGGCCATCTCCTTTGCCTCTATGCTTTTCGTGGGAACTTCAAGACGGTTGGAGATTACCGTGACGATATCTCTAAACGGAACTAGTTCCGCAAGTCCATCCAATACTATTCCAGCCTCAAGGGTGTCACTCTCAAGCACAAGCCTGTAAAGCTCCGCAATATCCTTCACCTCTACAGCACCCCATTTGTTCTCCCCGTCCCCCGCCCAAGCGCCTACCTCATTCACTCGCACCGACCGGACGACATCACCCACGATACCGAAAAAATCGCCCGACCCGTGAACAACCAGGGGCAGGCGTATGACGCAGGTGCGGACGGACTGGGAAGTGTACTGGGAGAGGGCTTTTTCAGAGCCAAAGCGGGAAGCTGCGGGGTAGCTGAGCAAAGAGGAGATGGGGATGACGGAGGTGATGACGAGGGGTTTGTTGGTGCCTATCATGGCAGTGGCCATGGCGTTGATGGCAGCCACATCAACTAGATAGGAGTCAGGGCTGTACACAAAGAGCCGAAAACGGGTGCAAACTTTGAGCAGATTCGGCGCATTGGGTAAAGTCGTTATTGTATGCCAGGTGCACAACGGCATCGCCATCGGCGGCTGCCTTGGCGAGTATGTGTGTGTCTTCGAGGGCACCACGGATGACTGTGAAGCCTTGATTTGTCAAAGCAGCTTCCTGATAGGTCAATGATTAGACCAGATAGCATGTGTGGGGGGAAGGGAAAAGGACTTGCAGACGAGTCGGACCGGGCGAGGGCGAGAATGGTATGGCCATTTTCGAGCAGCAGAGGCGTGAGATGTGAACCCAACCAGCCTATTTCAGGTCAGCGTTTTTTCCTTCAGAGACCGCCAGAATGCTCCTCTTCTTACCAGAAGCCCCAGTGATAAAGATCCTCATCCTTCTCTCGTCTACACAGGCTGCAACAAAAACCTCAGTACGCGTCGAACGAGAAGAACAAGTTGGATTAGTTTCGCAGGAACGCTGCTGCTTTTTGATAGGTAGGGCATTCACATGCGGGCACGAGCCTTGCAACAGGGAAATTGCAGCCACGTTACTACCTCGGAAGGAAGTGCAAGGAGGATTTATACCAAGGTGTTCGGTGTTCGGTGATCCACCCTCGATTTGTTTGGTTCGCCACAGCGCGAGCCCGGCGGTCTCGGGGGTGAACGTGTGACGTCCTGGAGGTCTTTTCATTTGCTGTGAGATCGCAGAAGTTGAGGTATCTGAGCCATACACACCATCGATACCCTTGCAGGACAGCCCCGTCGTTGCTGAATGAATTCAACAGATACCACCGTCTCTTCGCTGAGCTCGGCAGTTGCCGCCTATGCTCACGAGATATTCTCCGTTGTCGGCGGCACATACCGCCTCCCTGGATGACGCGTCTTTTCTATACTTTTCGCAGCCACCACCATGCCATAAATTTGTTGTTGCATGAGAGTGCGCCTATCTCCTCTTTCATTTCCATGCATCTGCCATCCCAAATACCCAAATACCTCCTGCTCCTCGCCGCCGCTGAGCCTGCCTCGCCTCACCCTACTACGCCGAGTTTTTCGTGACAGCCTTCGGCTACGCAGCGCGTAGCACAAAAAACACAGCCCGACTAGCCTAGCGGTCGCGTTTCGAGCTCATCTTGGCACAACTATCGACCACATCCTTTTTCTCAGCATCATGCCGCCCGCTGCCTCCTGGTTCGACTACTTTCAAAGCGGGAAATACAACCTCCTCCCCACAAATGCGAGCCCCTCGACGACATTCCTCAGCCCAGAGATGACAACAAGAGCATATCTGGGCAAACGGCGGCGTCTTTTTCAGCTTTGTGCGATGGTCGTCATCGGGATGCTGGTACTAGGTGGCATCATGAGGCATACGGGCTTGCCATCGCCGGCCTACCGAGCATCATCGTCCTTGGATGAAGGCGCGTGTGACGACAGCGAGCGTGCAATGTGGGGAAAGACGGAGCAGATGGGTTGGCAGTCACCGGAATCCGAGGGTCTGGTAGACCTCGGAGAGGTGGCTGAAGGGCGCTTCAGACTGAATATCAAGCCAGAACAGAGTAGCATTGCAGAGTGAGCCAATCGATCATGGTGAAGACTGCGCTCACACCTTGCAGATACTATCGCCGGCTCTACGACTTTGCTGTCTCTCTCCCAATGGGCCTCCATTCCCCCTTCCTCTCCTCTTTGCATGCCCACCTCCCACCTTCTCATCCCGATCTTGTACCCGACTATCCCAACGCCCAGTCCTATCTTCCATCCATGATCTCCTACAAATCCATCCACATGACCGACAAGACTTTCAACCCTTCCAACGAGTTGATCCAGACCTGGCAGAGAGTCAACGAGAGAGACGGATGGAAGCTCAACTTTTTGGACGACTCGGCTGCGGCCCAGTGGGTAGCAAAGGTGTTCAAGAGGAGTGATGTCGAGTGGGCTTGGAATTTCATGCACCGAGGTGTGCTGAAAGCAGACTTTTTGCGGTACTTGCTGCCCCTGGTTGAAGGTGGTGTATACTCTGACGTAGACGTGAGTGGCGTGCTCTTATCCTGTCTCGACTCGACTAATCAACCTCCAGACTCGCCCTATCCGACCCGTCGAACAATGGGGTACGACCGACCCTGAAATCCTCGACCTCTCTGAATCTGACGGGCCCAACTGGCGCTCCCATCTCTCTACTCATCCCTCGGTCATTGTCGCTATCGACGTCGACGTCCACGCTTTCCTCAACTGGCAAGACTCTTGGCCCCGCCCGCTCGGTATCTGCCAATGGACGCTCTCCTCCGCGCCGAATCATCCCATCTTTCTCGATGCGGTCAGGAGAGTGGTGAATGCTTCGCATGTCGTCGAAGATTGGGAAAAATGGAGAGAAGGAGAGATTGAGAGGTTGGAGTTGGAAAAGGCGGATGGATGGGAGAAGGCGGTCGAAGATCTCAAGAAGCAGAAGAGAGTTCATGCGATGAATGTAATGGAGTGGACGGGCCCCGGGCTGTTCACTGATTCTGTCTTGGCGTGAGTCTTGTTCTCGTCGCCCTTCCGACGTCAGCGCTGATCATCATGACAGCTTCCTACTCGCGAGGTACAACGTTACCTGGCACCGACTCCGAGGTCTTCACCACCCCTTACGGATAGGCGACGTCTTGATATTGCCCATCACCGGCTTCTCTCCGGGCGGGCAGGAGGACTTTAGGGCTGAGGGACCGGATTCGCCTCAAGCGAATGTCCTGCATAACTGTGAGTACTTCAATGATCTTTGACCAATGGCTGACTTGGCACAGTCCGAGGTAGCTGGAAGGGTGATGGAGCGTGAGCACGATAAGGACGTTGGATATCTCGCGTTCAGGGGCCGAGGGCATCCAAAAGTGTTACAATATAGATCTGTTTCTTTTGCGGCGTATCTCTATTCTGTGTATCAGTATTCGCAATGACTCGAGATTTCCCCTACACAACAGGCTAGTCCTGTATAGACCATCCTCTTTTCATGTGATTGCATAATCGGTATCTATTCTATAATCTCGGGTACTTTCCCTAGATGGCACGCACATATACGAGTTTCGCATGATGTAGCGATTTGATGCTACTTGCATTCACATACTTATCGTGCTGTCCATGTTCAGACCTCTTCAAGAGGCAAGAGGCCAAAGTAGGCGAGTCCAGGCGTGCTCCAAGTTTCGTGCGCGAAAAAAGTTCAGGAGATCAGAAGGAGGCACAACTCGGGTACTCTACTCGTACAAAGCATGCTATATGACTCTTGGATAAGTGATTTCGATGAAAAGTAAAGGAGTGCTGTGTGTGGCGTGTGCTAGTTTGCACCCTGTCCTTCCACATATCGATCACATTCATGCCTATCATCACTACCAAACACGCAAGCTAGAGCGCGGGTAGAACCTTCATGCCAGGCGGGGAGGAGAAGCGCAAGCGGCGTTGCGCTTTACGTTGACATGGTCTCCCCGTCCCGTACCTCTTATCATTTCATCGTATCTTAAGTATTCAATATGCTTGTCGATCGAAGCATTTTACCGGCTCAAGGTTATCAGATTCCGGAGCTTCCTGATGATGTCAAACATTGATGACAAGTCTGATACACTTTCCAATACTGGAGGCGGAGGCTCTGCAGTTCACCCGCTTCTCAATGCACCTTTGCTCTAACCCCCATGATCAATGTATGGGTCTCTTGTGCAGAGGAGTCGAGCAACTGATACTGTGGAGCTGGCGGCAGGCCCAGCCGAAGACCGGAGAACGGGCATGAGTGCCCATGTCTTTGCTACTCGCGTACTCTGTAAATCCCGCTCTTTCAGTGCTGCGCTCTTAGTCGTACTGAACACCTGGATATGTAGCACGACGGATTCGGTGAGATTCGAATGTGGAGTGTGTGATACATCCTTCAGGACTTCCGTTTGCTGGAATCCCGAATCGACCGGGAGGCAATCGGCGCCAACCATCCAACCGAGACAAGTAGTACTCGAGTACCGAGAGCCGTGCAGAGTTCCAAAAGGTAAAAAACCCAAGACACGGAACAACAAATTGTGGGGAAGAGGCACACGTACCATGATGGTTGGGGCAATACGGACAAATGCGCTGCACGCCACCAGCTGAAATGTAGAGGCTAGGTACAGTAGTAAGACAGATAACAACCCGGAGCACGGAGCTCACGGAGTTCAATGAGGTAGCAAGACACTTTGGAACCAGTATGCACGTCTCACCATATGTGTCAGCGTGAGTGGTGATCGTGGATGCTGGAGCACCGACTGGTTGGCCTTACTGGCCACTGGTACGCGTTCCATTGCTTTGGATACTCTGGATAACCTTGACTTGTCCCTCGAGAGACTACGACATGAAGCTTCTTCTCATCTGAGTTCACCCGGTGACGATGCTTGATAGACGTAATGGGTGCCGGGAAGCGTCTTGATGTGGTGGTGGATTGGGCAAGAAGGATTGAGAGTCGTGCAACAAGGCAACAAGGCTCGCGTCGCCATTTGTGATCATAAGGTAGGCTTGATTGTTTTGGGTCCCAAGAATTCACTAATGGATCTGTCTAAGATCTGAATGTTAATGGCAATAGCAAAAAGGGTGGGCTTGAGTCAGATTGGTTGAAGACATGAATGAAAATGTTCGTTTTAGCGACCAAGGCCGCCAGCACGCCCAGCAGGCAGAAAATCGTCGTGACTGCTGCTGCACCTGGAAGAAGGATGATTGCGATGACACACGGCGCATCGGGCAATCGCAGAGGATATGAGCGGTGGGCCCAGGTTGGGTGCAGCACTGGAGAAAAGCGTGGGTACATACTTTGGTCGCTGAAGGATGAGGGCCCCAAGGCCCCCAAGGGGTCAGGGCCCAGGGAAAGCAGGAATTAGATAGTAGGATAGTCAAGGGTAGACAAAGATCTCAAAGTGGAGCCCGGCATCTGACAACTTCGGTTCGCATCTTTCGTGAGTCGGCCATTGAATCGGTCAAGTCTAATCAGATTGCTAGATGTATCCGGTTGAATTGTGCATCTTAGTAACCTCCTCCTCGATCCTCTCACCCCAGCGCCGCGTAGAGCTCAGAACTGACTCGGTCTAAACGTCTCATTTGAAGCGACTAAGAGGGAGAGTTCGCTCACGCCATCGACACCGAACATCTATCAGATAGATAGACACTCCGCACGCAAGCTCAAATTCAAAGCGAGCATTCGCGTCGGGCCCTTCGGTAGAGCCTATTGAAGAGATCTGGATTTAACTCTTTCGGCCGGCTGTAACCGCGGCGGGGTGACAAACTCTGATTTGGTAATTAGAAAATTGAAATTAGCCTTATCCACCGATTGGAGTGTATTCAGGAATCTGCTCACGTGATCTCTTTCCGTCGCTCAACGTTCTCCAAATCTACATCATCCGGACTTACGCACGTTTGCGGCTGTCTATCTTGGAGAGCGTTATGTCTGCATGCGGGTAAGAGATGCCTATCTTGGAAGGACACTCTCTGCGAAGAAGGCTAAACATTTATCCCGCATCTGGAGCCAGCACAACACAACATGCAATAATTCGACAGCTATAGCAATCCTCTAGGGGATCTAGAGCCTCTGGGCCGTGCCATCGGTCACATACACGTAGAGCAGATATTACTGGACATCCCAGACAAATTTCCTGGAACTGACACTCCAGGGGATCCCAGAACCATCAAACACATGTCACGTAAGACCCACTCTACCACGAACCAGCAGTTGCGAAGAAGACAGATCTCGTGGCTCGTGGCCAGCCGCGGGGCGGCGTTCTTTCATTGATCTGAGCACCTGCACTTTCTGGCCCCTGTCCAGAAGATGCGGCCTATGGCCTGTGTGTCTGCAGCTCCCTGCTTCCTGCACTTCCTGTGGCGTGTGGCCTCTCGGGCTTATGTGTCAGGCGCCCGGCGGAGGCGTATGGTACGTAAAGCAACGAGGTGACGGCATTGATGTACGGCACGCACGGCCCATGGAACCAAAATAATCCTCCCTCAACTTTTCAACTCTATATACCGAAGCGGCCAGGTAGAATGACGAGAGATAGGGAATGTGCGTACGGGAACGAGAGACGGGAAGAATGGAAGATTTTAAGGAAGAAGGCAAAAGGCAGTAGAAGCATAGAATGAGATGGTGGAGGGTGGAGGCCGTGGAGGCTGCACTGATGCTGCAGGCGTACGAGCGTACGAGATAAGCATAGGATCTCTGTCACGTCGTCGTCCGCGTCGTAGTGCGCGTCGTATGATATGTTGTGTTGTGCATGTCGTCAGCCAGAGCAGGCATATCTCAGCAGATACTGCAAGTTGAAGGGCCAGATGTGAGGCTGGGGAAGGGTTCCAACTGTTCTTTCTCACGATCTTTGAGAGATTAGTGGCGGGACTTCAGGTCAGGGGCATGAATCATGTCACCAGAGAAACGAAAGAGTATCACCAAATGGCACAGGGATCAAGAGAGAGAAGAGAGGGAAAAGTTTAGGCAACAGAGGCCAGAGGTCGGCCGGAGGATAGTGTCGGTACAACGTACAAGTGTATTTTACATATCTTCATCACCCAACAACCCTTCCCGGACACTGATTTGGGCGGATAGAGCGGCTTTAAGCATGCCGCTTCTTGGTCCTCTTTGGCCTCTTGCACAGCCGGGAGACTTTTCCGATACGGAATTTCGACGAGAGCGACCATGAGTATGGTTCATCCTTAGTGCGAAAGTGCGAAGGGGCTTGCAGCTTGCAGCTTCTTGGCCAGCCTTACGCGATCGATTTGGAACGATCTCTTCATTGCCATCAAATGCATAGCTTCAAGCTATCTGAATTTCTGGGCTGACTGAGTAGGATGTAGGGTGAAAGAGGTCAAACGCGTTGAACGACGTCAAGCGCGCAGCGCCAGTCATCGTATCCGTGAATGATGAAATTGACGAGAGACAAAAGGGGGAAAAGTGCCGAAGATCTGATTCCAGTGTTTGGCGAGGTTTGCGGCGTGGCTGAATCTTTTGGCTCCAGACCAGAGACACAGGACACAGGCCGTCAATCAGGAGGACACTTGAGCATTCGCCATTTGCAAGATCTCAAGCATGCGGCAGCTGGAGGTCGCTCGAGGCAGTCACGGCACGTGCAGACTCACACTGTGCATACAGCCAATCTGCATTCTGTTTGCATCCAGCCACATGCTCATGCGATAATCTTGCTGCGATCTTCGTGAGATCCCAAAAAGAACCCGCTGCGATAGCCATATATCGACGGAAGTTTCCAGGGATCTAACGCGAGGCCCATAGGGCCCAAACAGGTACCTGGAAAAACCCTGTTACCTTGTAGGTCTGTACCTTTCGGCTAGGGTGTTTGTCGCGGGCGAAGAGCGGGTTGAGCGACGTGAGTCAAGAGAGAGATCATAATAAGCGCACAAATGCTACGAGCGCTACGAGTGTCTCAAATATCAAAGGCCGAGAAGCCAGGGATGCCTGAAGTGAGACGGATCTCCGAGCACTTGGGGCTGTCCGGTGTGAGGGATGGGGTGGACAGGGAGACGTTGCAGCCTGGCCTGAGAGACTGAAAGAGCATCCTGCGCACGGCACCCTGCGGTCTGCGATGTTCTCCGCTGCATGCGCTCATCTGCGGTCATGCAGGCGATCAGGCTATACGGGCTAAAAGGCGTACGCGTTGGAGCCGGTAGTCATCAGGAACTCAACAAGCTATAAGTTACGGCTACTTGTATCAACGTAACGAGGTTATTAGAAATAACGATGATGTCTCTTCCTGGAGCTCCTGGCCCGCGCACCAAAAGTAAATAATCGAAGCGAGCCCCCCTCTTCCCCCATCTCGACAATTTACATCTCTCTTCTTTCTTTCCATCCCACCCTTCTTCCCACCCCGACACCCCCCTGTTGCATAATCCAGCGCCAGCGACAATTACTGCCTGGACACCCGCCCTGTACTGCGCCCCCACGCCACTCTAGCTCGCACAGCCGGCCACAGCCCGTATCTCCCTACGCGTCTACCTCCGCGGGTCTACCTTTCCAGTAAATTCGACGTCCTTAGCGCAGGCCACCTGACACGCAAAGCCACGAATTTGCCGACTTGTCACCGTTATTCGGCTTGCACGGTTTCGGGATTTTTAGCTCTATCAAACAGCTGTTCGCGCGTGTCCATCCACTCGACACATCTGTTCTCCACAAGAGATTCAGCCACCATGCCCGCTGAAGCCAAGGCGAACGAAAAGTACCAGGCAGCGGCAGCTCAGCAGCCGGCCGCGGTCTGCATCCTCAAGTCCCCGGTCGATGCGTGAGTAGAACATCCCGGAGTGTACTTGACCTCGCTAATGACCCGTCTCGTTTAGCATCCACATACTCGAAGCTGTCAGGCTGGGCATTGTGCCCCGGGTCACACGGCGGCTCACGGGTCATGAGCGCTCTCTGATTCGTCCGGGAACAGTCTGGGTCTGGGAAGAAGGTGAGTTGTCGGTGGTGCGAGCGTATCATGCGGAGCTGACATGTTGGCAGAGGAGACCAATATGCGGCGCTGGACGGATGGACGTCGATGGGGCGCTTCTCGTGTGGGGAATGGTGGATTCTTGGTGTACAATGAGTGAGTCACAGCATGTCAGCTCTATGCATCGTCTGACTTTCGGCAGGTCTCTCGAGTCTCTGTCTCCCCCTCATGCCGGGGGTGATATGCCCTATGGCGATCCTTATTACCAAATCCCTCCTCGCCGGCCCGACAGCCTCGTCAAGCAGACCTACTCTACCAGCATGACTCACCCCGTCACTGGCAAGGTCAAGAAGTTTCATGTGGTGGCTTATGCCAGCAAGGTACGCAACATCCGCAGGCAAGCTTATCGCACATGCTTAAGTTGATGCAGCATAATCCGGGTGGTGATGGTACGAACCCCCTTCCCCAGCCGCACCAGCTTCCTGCCCTCCGACACCTCCAGGTGCAGAGCGGGATCTGGCCTGAATGGGAGACGAGGAGAGAGGCCGACTTTACCCGACGCGCAGCTGCTGCGAAGCAAGCTCTGTACGCTGCCAGCAATGGTGTCCCGTCGAACAATCCTGCCTCCGCCCCAGCTCCTCCTGCCCCTCAACAATACCCGACTCAGCCAGTACCTCCCACTGCTTATCCTCCGGTGTATCCGCAGGATGCGTACCACAGACCCATGGCTTCCCCCGGTTACCACCAGCAGTACATGCCTTCTCCAAACGTGGCCCCTCTAGAAGGCGGGATGTACCCCCCAGTTGGCAAGTTCACTCAGCCATATCAATCCCCTCGCAGAGAGCCAACCGAACTTTATAATGCAGGATACCCACCTTCTCGAGCCGTCTCACAAACCCCCACCCCGATGGCGCGAGAGGCCGCGGCCCGCTATCACCCGTACGGCGCGCCGCCCCATCGATCCACTGATCGCAGGGTCAGCCCTTACCCTCCCCAAGCGCCTCCATCTCGATCGACTACTCCTGTGGGTGAATACCCCAGAGAGGCAGATGGTTATGGCCCGGCGTCGTGGGCCAATGCACCTAGGGTCTCGCCTACTCAGTCATACTCTTCCTACAACTATCCTCGGTCCGGAGAGGCAAGCAGACCAAGGCACTTTTACGAGCCTCAAGTGGCCCCTCCTTACAATGAGCACGTCAAATCCGAATATGGTGTCGACCCTGCCTACGGCAATGACCCCAGGCGATATGCATATGAAGAGGCCGAGGTGCCCCGCCGTGGTCTTACGCCTTATCAGCAAAATCCCTCGTCATACGGCCAGCCTGTGCCCAGCACGGAGGACCTTGGACAGTACCCTCCCTATGGTGCCCCAAGGTCGCCGAGGGCTTCCAGCAGCCAGGGATACAGCGCGTCTGGTGTCACCCTTCCACCTTTGAGAGCGGCGTTTGGCGAGGAGAGTGGGCATAACTCTGCGAAGGTTAGCCCGGAAAATAAGAGAGAGGGGAGCGAGAGGCAGAGCCAGAGCCCCACAGAGGTTGGCGCCAAGCCTCAGCAGAGGAACGGATGGGGAGAAGATGCCAGGCAGCTGGGTGAGCTGGGAAGGAGGATGGTGTTGTAAGAGGTGGCGTCTGAGGTTATATCATCGCGATTATTAGTATTAGAGAACGTTTTCATCTCGTGTGACGTGGTTCCGAGAGACGTTCAGCTCTAGATTTGTTTGTACAGTATGCTGGTCATGCAGATCATCCCCTATATGTACACGCTGCCCATAATTGCATGACCGTGTTGCAACGCCAGAGAAGACGTCTTCGATTTTCCCGTTTTCTTTGCGCGATGGCTCGAGAAGACCGCTTATCTATGGCGGCCTTGACCGACGCGATCGACGTCAACGCGACTAACTGTGGCCGGGCGACGTCAATGCAACTTTTGTATACATCGCTTTCAATTGTCACACTACGGCTACGATTCTGAGAATCGCACCGTTTCCCCAAAGTCTCAGGAAGTGAAGTAGTGCACAAGATGGCCTACACGCCTACTGAGGCTACGCCGTTACTAGGGCCTCAATCCGGACCGTCATCGAAGATTCTGAGCGAAGTAAGTGTTCCCCTTGTACCGAGCATACTTCTGCTTACCCCATACTACAGACGAAAGTCTACCCTCTGATTCATCTCATACGAGTCGATATTATGGCCCATATCGGTATGTGCTTGAGATGGAACTCGGGGAAGCCGCAGTTGACGATGAAGCGCAGATGCTCCTTTGACGTATGAGCAGCTCTTGGCTCCTGATTCTACCTATACGATCATCAGGTAGGTGGAAAATCCTTTCTTCGGAGCACTATGGCTCACGGAACAACCTAGGCCCCTCACGGAAAAGTATCTTGCGCTGCAGAACCAAGCGACGGGTAGGTGTCTTGCATATTTCGTACACTATCCTCTGACGGGTGTTACAGTCTTCTGCCTGCTTCTCAACAAAATCCAGTTCACTCAGGACTCAAACCAGCTCTCCATCGCCACACTATCACTCACAAGGGCGACGTTATGTGAGATACTGGCAAGTCGGGTGCTCCGTGCGTGTTATCACAATCTCGAAACAAGCTGGTGCTGATAGTCGTTCCCATCAGGCGGCTGGTCGGAACGGAGTCTACCACTGGCCACTGTTCTTCTCACGCCATGGTCTTTGTTTCAAGGAGCATCAGAAGCGGTAATAGAGAGGGCGAAGGAAGAGGGCGATGGGGACTTGTTGAAACAGACCGGGGCGGCTCTTGAGGTATGCTGACTCAGTGTCTGTGGTCACCTCGATACTGATAATGGGAATAGATGGCCATCATCAGCGGGTCAAAAAGGTTCATCAGGAGCCCTTCTTGCCAAAAAGTCATTGGTCAGTGACGGTCGTCGCGCTCGCTGAGAAGATTTACTAATCTGGTATGGCGCTTCTAGAGGGCATCTGGGCAGGCAAAATCATCTACTCGGCTCTGAATGCACATGCTCTCATTGCTGACGTACGTTCCTCACCAATGTTGGTACACAGCTGACCTGTTGCAGAACTACAAAAAGAAGCCGATACAAATGTACAACCCGCATAAAGCTCCGGTATTGGATCATTATCGGTGAGTCCTGTTTTCGGATGGACTTGTTGACCGGAACTGATGCCATCTAGTCTCAAAGTCCCACGGTATAGGTCCATGCTGGAGTATTTCAACTTCCTGGTACTGTTCATCTTGTATGTGGTTGCTATCGAAGGGCTGGAGGAGGACAAGATCATCGGTAGGGAGTGGGCTTTTATCGTCTATGCCATGGGTGAGGCTCTAAATCTGTTGCTGCGCGTCCTATATGCTTGCTGACATACTCAAAGCATTCTCGCTTGACAAGCTGGCTGCTATTCGGGAACATGGCCTGAAAGGTGAGCACTTGCGAGTTCCATCACTCCAAGGCAGGCATCTGATTTCGGATTCAGTCTTTAGCAGTAGTCTTGTCAACGGATTCGACCTCGTCTTCATGATGATCTATGGAGCCTACATGAGTACTAGGATGTATGGACTGAGATATAACGACATATATTTCATGGAGATGGGTGCGGACTGGCTCGCAATCGGTGTGTCAACTTGCAATCCACAGCTCGCCGTGGTAGCTAATGATGAGGACAGGTGCTGTACTGATATTCCCTCGGTTGGCATTCGTGACGTTGGCCAATAATCTCATGGTCCTGAGCATTCGGTCGATGTTGACGGAGTTCTTTTGTGGGTACACCTGCTTGTCACCGTGAAAGATGCTGATGGGGGCCACTGGTAGTTCTTATGGGAGTCGGCGTCTTTTGCTTTGCTGGTATGTCTTCGGCCATGGTAACCAAAATCACAGGAGCTGATCGAAATCAGGATTTGTCTATGCCCTGTTTACTCTCGGACAAGGAAAGTTTGACCTTCCACAGATTGGATGGTGGCTGTTGGAGATCTACTTTGGATTGGACGCCTCCGGATTTGAGCATGCTCGTGAGTGACAGTCAGCAGTTCGAAGCGCCGCTTGCTAAAGATTATCGTAGACTACTTCCATCCCTTCCTCGGACCTCTACTCATGGTTTCATATGCTCTGCTTTCGAACACGTTGCTGTTGACGGTACTGGTCGCTATCCTTGGTAATACTTTCGCCACCATCAACGCGGATGCTGCTGCTGAGGTAAGCCTCTATCGTGCGTATGACGAACGAACACTCTGGCTGATCAAACAAAGTCGATGTTCCGGAAAGCCGTTTCAACGATTGAAGGGGTCAAGGCAGGTAAGCTTCCCCTCTACCAGACATCGACGTCCATGGTCTCATGATTTGCAGATGCTGTGTTCAGCTACCAGTTACCCTTCAATCTGCCTGCCGTGGTCTTCATGTTCCCCATGAGATACCTATTGAACGACAGATGGTGAGATCCACCTCGCAACTTCGAGTCGTTGGCTAATGGGGCTCCAACGCAGGTTCCACAAGGTCAATGGTGTGTACCTCGTGATGTTCGCTCACACTTCCAGGCTAACTTTCCCTCAGTATTCATGATCAGGGTTTCCAGTGTACACATTCTGCTCCTGATAGCCCTCTATGAGAGGCAGTCCTATAAGGACCAAACGTTGATGGAGCAGCTGGGCGACTTTGCAGAGCGATACGTGGGCAGCCTGCCAAGAAGACTTAAAGCGGCTGGTGAGCAGAGCCCGCACCATAGCTCTATCAAAAGGCTGACCAATCGTAGCGGGCTTTGACAACTTTGCATCTCGGAGCGACCTCGAGGCAGTGTTCGAGATAGAGCGGGAAGTCGGCAGCTTCTATGCCGGATGGGACGACGATCTCGACCTCGATGAGCCGGATATCTTGCTTCCTCCGGCATTTGAAGATGCTTTCGCGAATGAATCACCCGAACGTGAAGGGGCCGAGGACGAAGATGGCCTTGGCGAGAGGCAGGATTTGTTTGCGCCTCAATCGGCACCCCTGACAGCTTCGCCTTCGCGACTCGAACATCAGATTGAGAGTCCCCGTCCCCGCAGGAACTCCATGCCTTCTCCCCATCGAGCGGTCAACCAGGCGATTCCTCAGCAGTCTTCCCTTCGACGAAGAAACAGCTCCATGCATGGCCCGAGTCCCCTCGCTCAGCTATTCGTGCGGAGTCCCGAGTCGGAAGGCCTCCGAGGAAGGCGCACTTCGTTAGCCGGTATGGTAGCCACAAGCGTACAGCCTGCGGCTCCCAGCGTCTTCACACCGCCCGCGAGAAAGAGAGGGCACTCTCGATCAGAGTCGTTTCCTGCGACATCCACCGGCGACCAGAGCCGGTACAGCACCAGCTCTCTTCCTCGACGAGGTTACGCGAGGCCTTCAGTCGCACCCATCACCGAAGGCAAGACCGTCTCTTTTGCGAGCCATCTAAAAGACTCGGAGGACGATGGCGTCGTCGAGCCGGGGGCTATCACGCACGATCAACCCGAGAATATGGGAGCAGTAGGCCGAGGGGGGGTGTCTATCGGCAACAAGACGTCTGGGACGCAAACACAGCCTCTTAGTGGGCGTAGTGTCCGATTTCCTACTGTTGGTGACCATCAAGACCTTCAGTCATCCTTCGGGACTACGGCTTTCGACACAAAATCTCAGTCTCCTCACCCTTCCGAAAAAGTTGCGAAAGTTTCGGATGTGGAGTCTCTAGCCATGGTGAAACCCGAAGAGGAAGCAAGAAGTAAAGGCGTGCAAGAGAAGCTGGACGACATGGACAAGCGTCAAAAGCGCATGGAGGAGATGATGGAAAGGTTACTGAGCAAGCTTGATGGTTGAACAAAATAATCACCAAATGTTAGTCTTGTAATTATACTATACTGTACATACAATGTTACACTTACATTGCATTCGAGCATATCGGCTGTTTCTCCTTCTTGTTGCAATGTGTCAACACGATTACGTAAGAGATACTTGCCGTGAGTAGTTGTCCGTCGAAGGTGACCTTTGTTGGCCAGGTATCCAACTCGCCACTCCACCTCCAGGCCTCTACCTCACAGGACGGTAATGTCCACTACGGCAGACTATATTGCCAAATATCCTCGGCGGCAAGCTCTGCTGGAAACAGTAGAGACATACTGGCTGGATGATCCAAGGCGACCACCTGGAACGCTCGATTCGTCTCTCAAGAAACACACCACACTTATCAACAAACTCAAGTCTGCTCTGTTGATAGGCCCCTCAGAAGCCTTTGCCAAAGATATAGATGGCCTGACTTTGTCGAAATACCTGGAGGAGATTGTCGCGGCCGTCGTTGATGGCGCTTCCAAAGGCAGAGGTGATCCTGAAGTTGCTGTTGATATCATCGTCCACCTGCATAGCAGGCTCGCCCCCGACTTTCTTCAGCAACTTCTTCCTCTACTCCTGGGTGCACTGTCCGCCGGTGCACCCGTCAGTCTCCCCCTAGGCAAAGATGGCGACAAGGAGAAGGAAAAAGAAGACAAGGAGAGGCTGGCGAAGCAGAGACCGGTATTGAGGATCATTGCGGAGCTGGCTATGGTAGGCGCCTGGGAGGAAGGTGCCGTGAAAGGATCTGCTGAGATTGGGAAGATCCTTAAGGGCCTGGTGCGTGTCTTAAGAAGTTTGTACATATCTGATACTGACATCGGCTTTCAGATGACGAACGACCCTCAATTCAACAATTTGCCCCTACTGTCGACCTTCCTCAAATATTTTGGCAGGGCCTATCTTGGCAGCAAACATAATAACGAATCAATCAACGGCTCAGATGCTACTGCCGAAGAGCAGACAAAGGAGGAATTGCCGGAAGGTGTGACAGAGCTTGTCCCGGTAGAGGTGCAGAAGAAGATGCGAGAGCTCTTTGCTGGCTATTTCAATACGACTAGCAGGACTCTGGTCAAGGGACAAATAGTGAGATATCAACCTCTTATAATGTGGCCCAGCGCTGATGATCGCAGAAACTTCTCGAGCAAGACAAACGCAACCACGAAGCGTATATCAAGTCCGGCGAGATCTTTGAAGACCGCCAGCAAGCTTATGAGAAGATGATTCGTGCTATCGAAAGGCTCAATGCTGGTCTCCAAACACTTGCCGACCTTTTGGGCCTCGCCCCTCCCGTGCTCCCTACTGCTGCTACTCTATCCAAATCCGGTCTCCAAATTGTCGACTCTGGGTCCTCATTCACTGTCAGAAACGATGGACCCATCGCGGGGGGCATTTGGGACGATGAAGAGGAGCAGAGATTCTATGAGGATCTGATTGACCTCAAGGAGGTGGTCCCTTCTTCCCTTTTGGGCATCAAGGAAAAGAGCGCGAAAGAAAAGGACGAAGAGCCGGGAAATGCCGAGGAAGAACAGATAGAAAAGCAGAAAGCAGAGGAAGAAGAGTTGCGCAAGCAGCTAGAGCAGATGGAGCTGGCAGACTCTCAGGCTCAGCCCGAGTCCGAGAAGCAAGGGATCGATGCAGTGAACGCGGGAGGAGATGCGGAGGATATCACAGAAGACTCTGCCGACGAGGAAGCCCCGACCACTACTGTCACGGAAGAAGATGGGCTTCAATCTGGTCCAGCTGCTCGACTTTCGGCGCTGTTTGCTGCTTTACCAGAGTCAAATAATAGAGAGGTTGTGGATAAACTTGCCATCGAATTCGCCTTTTTGAACTCGAAGGGAGCCAGGAAGAGGCTAATCAAGGTCGGTGATCTCAGAATGATTTTTGATGGTAGTCTAACACAGGATACAGTTTCTTGGAGAAGTCCCGAGGCAGAGGACCGACCTTCTTCCACACTATTCTCGGTTCATTGCTACCCTCACGCCTTATATGCCGGACGTTGCTCAAGGTGTCCTCGATATTGTACGCCAGGTCCATACAACCTGATTGCCAAGCTGATGTTTTGCAGCTGGACGAAGAGCTACGTTATCTGCAGAGAAAGAAACTGATCCGTGAACTCGACAGCACGCGTCTCAAGGTAGGTTATGCTTCATTTGATCGACGCCCCCTAACGATGCATCGCCCAGAATGTGCGCTTCTACGGAGAACTTGCCAAATTCAAGGCAGCCAAGCCTTTCAACATCCTACACGTCTTCAAAGTGTTCCTTGACGATTTCAAGTTCAACATCGACAACATTGCAAACCTGCTTGAAACTTGCGGAAGGTTTTTGTTGCGCAATGAAGACACCGCTGAGGTGGCGAAGCGAATGGTGGAGTTAATGAGACGCAAGCAAGCGAATACGCATTTGAACCAGAGACAGACGCTCATGCTGGAGAACGCTTTCTATACTGTAAGTGCCCTCACGTCGTGCGGTGTCTTGAGGTTAATATAGATCGTAGTGTAACCCTCCCGAACGAGTCGCTCGAGAGATCGTGCAGCTCACGCCAATGGAAAGCTTCATTCGGCATCTGCTTGATGAAGTGCTCATGAAGCGAACCATTGATAAAGTCTTGAAGTTGTTGCGGAAGCTTCACTGGGAGGATCCAGAGGTGAGTCTGTCTTAGTAAGACTCTTGTCGGCCTGCTGATTGATTGTCCTACAGGTCTACGCGTACATCTTTGCTTCCTTCACCAGCCCGTGGGAGATCAAGTTTGGCAACGTACCGCACCTCGCCGACCTCGCGTGTGACCTCCAAAAGTGGCACCCTGAATTCGGAATTTCTGTCGTTGACGAGGTGCTTGAGAACATTCGCATCGACTTGGAAGAAAACATATTCAAGTTCAACCAGCGAAGGATTGCTACCATGAAGTATCTCGGTGAACTTTATATGTACCGAGTCATCAGCTCCTCGGTCGTCTTTGATGTGCTTTGGAGCTTATTGTCGTTCGGTCATGGTCAGTTCTTACCTTTTGATTCGGTTTCAGTGCTCAGTACTGACAAGAGCTACAGCTGACCCCACGCCGTACCCGGGCCGAGAGAGTCCAGTCGATGCCGTCGACGATTTCTTCCGTGTGCGTTTAGCTTGCACTTTGCTCGATACATGCGGCGTTTGCTTTGAGAAGGGGTCTCAAGGGCGCAAGCTGGAACAGTACCTTGTCATGCTCCAGGTGAGTAGACCACGCAGGACAGTGAGACTCTGCTGACATATGCTGTCCAGCTCTACGTCACTTGTAAAGCGGAGCTTCCCATGGACGTTGACTTTATGCTGTCCGACACTCTTGAGGTGAGTACTTGGTCACTAATCTTAGAACTCGGGTCTGACAAGCGTCCAGGCTCTACGACCCAAAGCACCCAGGCTCAGGACTTTCACCGAAGCAGCCACTGCGGTGGACGAGCTTCTGGCCACTTCTGAAGACTTTGGTGTGGAAGAGGATGGTTCAGACGACGAAGGCCTGCGACAAGCCACAGAGGACAAACCCGAAACAGTAAGTCAACTGATTTGTAGCCTGTTCGTCTGGCTCACGTTCCTAATAGCCCGAGCAAGTCCATGCCGAGCTGGAAGGCACCGTGGAGGACGAAGACCAAGATGTTGTGATAATCCGTGATCAAGCCAAACCCGATGAAGATGACGCGGACGAGCGGGCTGCTTTCGACCGCGAATTTGCCAAGGTCCTCGCCGATACCACTGATGCCAGGCGCGGTGAACAACGAAAGACTGCGCCTCCCATATTCGACACTGCAGTGCCTATCATGAGGAAGAAGGCGGACGAGGCGAAGGCTAGAGCGACGAGAGAGAAGGAGCAGGAAAGGGAGCAGGCGGCAAAGGAGGAAGAAGGGAGGATGCAGTTCATGCTGCTGTCAAAGAAGGCAGGAAAGCAACAGGTTAGTGAAGCCGTGACACCTGAAGGCCGGGCTGATAACGCTCCTCAGTTGCGATCCCTCGCCATCCCCACGGACTCGACCATTGCTGTCAACTCCAAGACATATCAAGCTCAAAGCAAGGCGGAACAGGAGCAGCTGAAGAGGTTGGTGCTGCAAAATGAGAGAAGGCTGGAGAGGTCAGAAGTTGAAGGTGAGCCGGTCTATCGCATAGCTTTGACAACGCTGACATTGCTCAGACATTGAGACTCGGGGCATCAAGCTCCGGTTCGCCCACTCATGACCTGCCCGACGGTCTGACCGTCACACCATGTGCAAACCAACGAAGAAGGCTCAAGGCCGGCTTCTAGGATAGTCGTCAAAGTCGGCAAAAGAGCTCCGACTCTGCTTCACACTCCAGGTGTTGAGCTCGAAGAGATAGGCCAGAAGTTGCTGCTTGGATTATGGCATCTGCGTCCCCTCTCCAGCCATTGTTCAACATTTGGACATCTCCCTCTGTACACACACATTATCTTCGCTGTCACATGCAACTTCACCACATCATCTTTGAGATCTCAGGTCGGACCCTTTTTCCACCCTGGATCAGACTAGAAGGGTCGAGTGGTTGATATCTTGACTTCGCCTGCAATGAGACAGCCGATGTTGTCTCATACCCCCTCTCCCGTACCCGGAGTTCAACTATCGAAGGGGCTGCTTCGTGGTCAACGACCAAAAGGCCTCCTCAAGCAAACTTCTTGACTATTTCATATAGTTAAAAGAGCAGCCGGAGATAAGAAAGATTCAAGAATCAAGAATGACGAAAGATTGAGACAAAAGGCATTTACGTGCGGCACACCCGCGCGGATGGCTTCGTCACCGCTTGACACCACTCACCGATTGGGTATCACCAGATCGCGTTCCGCCAGCAGCTCGGCAAGGTATCAATCGAACTGGAGATAGTGCCTGGAGCGTAGAGGAGCATGCATCAGATGACAGGATCCCGGGTGACCTCGGTGGAGACCGCGATACATCACGAGACAACCCACTGCGCGGCATTGCCTCCATCGGCACTGCCTATATCCCCGGCACACGGCAGCCCTCTCGATCTCTTTCTCGCATGACCAGCCTTTCCAAGCATGCCAAGTGCACTTTTTTCTAGCAATGTCTGCCGCGATCATGGGCAGTATGTATGATGGCATGCAATCTGATTCTGGATGCATAGTATTTACAAGATCGTTCAAAGTTCGATGACAGGATATGTTACCTCCTCTTCTTTCCTTCCTCTTCCCATTTACACAACAGAAGACCGTATTTGCTTTCCCTTCCATCCTAGAATAGATATATAGAAATGTGTGTGTATACTGTACGATACGTAAAAGTGACAACGTCTTCAAAGCCTGACAGACATGATGCGAGAATGAGAGAATTTTGTGGGTCAAGTTCAAGACCGTTTACTTAGGTACTGTTGTCGGCGCAAGAGAAAGCACCAGAGACAGTCCCGTCCGCATAAGAGTCATTGATGCTGACTACCGCGGCCCAAGTACCAGTGATCATGATGAAGACACCGATAAGGAAGGTGGCAACAGCAAGGAAGAAGGTGGAGCGGTAGCGGAGAGACTTGTTGGTGCTGCGTTGGGCCCAGTTGTCAAAGAGCCACATATAGGCGGGGGTAATGAGGGAAAGGAGGGTACCGAAGACGGCACCAACGAGGCCAACAAAGTCGCTGAAGAAGGGAATGGCTAGGAGATGGGGTCAGATCATGTCTTTGTATTGCTTGCGGAATTGCGTACATTCAGCGAGGATGAAGGCGAGGGCAACACTCCCGCCGACGGTACCGAGCCAGACAGCCCAGTGAGTGAAGGTGTTTCCAGTCAAATGCTCAGAGCCACTGTCATACAAGTCAGCAGTCACCTCGAATTGACAGTAGACGATGGACTGACCGGAGGACACGGACAAAAATCATCTTGGCGCCGACGTGGGTGTAGAGAATGCACCCGACAAGCAGACCAGGAAGGGCAATGCCGTAGGAAATTTTCTTGATCAACTCACCAGCCGACCCAAGGGCAGGGCTGGAAAGGTACTGGCCACAGTAGTAGTAGACAACTATGCCTATGGTCAAGTAGACTGCGGTGCAGAGACCCTGGGCAGAGTAGAGGGCAGTGCTGTATCGCTTGGGCTGACGCATCTCACTGATGACGTTGAAGAAAGCAGGAGTACCACAGTAGGCGAAGACGACGGTAGAGACAGCGCTCATACCACCGAGGAAAGTACCATCAGTTCGGAAAGCAGCAATGTCTTTTTCCCATGGCCCGGTGGAAGGGGCAGACTCGGGACGGTCTTGAACACCAACAGCGACAGTGATGATCAGGATGGCGGCCATGATGGACGTGAACCCTATCCAGCCGAGGATGGAGACCTTGCCAAGAGTTTGAAGAGAGGCAAAGGCAAAGGTGATGACGGCGACCTAGGAACGTGGTCAGTGAACGTTACGGTACGGAAAGGGCAGAACCTACGATGACGGCCCAGACAACGGTGCAGGTTGCGTGTTCGGTGATGGCATTGAAAGCAAGTGAGGTGGTGATGATACCAGAGCCACACAAGCACTGGTCAAACGGTTGGTGACGATCTTGAGAAACCAATTGAGACTCACGATCATGAAAAGAGCATACGCAAAGGAAAAGAATTCTCGACCATAGTTTCCTTGACCTTTGTCAATACAAGAAACAACGCGCAACAATGCCGTCAACTCACCAAACAGTACATAGCCTACACCGTCCATGGAATATACTTCGGGGTGGTTGAGCTTGAATTCGTAGATGACCATACCAGTAAAAGTAGTGAGACCAGCGATAACAAGGACGACTGATAGAAAGGTCAGCGAAGAGACCGCGCGACGATCAAAAGCTCACTGATCACTCCGGGAACACCGCCGACTAAATGATAGGCAGCGCGTCAACAAACGTCTCTCAAGTATTCATCATCGTTGACTCACCTGCCATGAGGACTGATGGCATAGCCAGCACACCCAAAGCAATAGTGAGCTTGACCATCAACACGATGGACTTGGACCTGACGATGTCTTCATGAGCTTTTATTATCTTGGGCGAGAGAAAAACCTACAGCCCTACACTGCGATAGTCCACGCCGCCCTCTTGCATGGCTCCGAAGACGGCATCTCTCTCGGGGTCGTCAAGACCGGCGTACTTGCCATCGAATGGCGCGTCCACAGCGGGAACGGTGGCAGCGTCGACTACGTGAGCCTCCCCATCGTGCTTGTCCATTTCAATGTCGGAGGCGGATCCCATGGTCATTTATTTCTGTCGAAGCTGGTAGTGTTATGACAAAAAAGGGGGAATACGGAGGGCCAATAGAACGTGAGTGAGTGTTATAAACTGGTGATTGTGGGAGATAATATAAATGATGTTCAAGCCAAGGCTGCCGTGATTCGCTCGCCCGACAGAAGGCATTGCCGTCAAATTTCTGGCTGATCGCTATGTTGGACCTGAGTCGCCGAAGATAGATTCCGTGAACCGTAGACAGGGCAGATCTGATGATAAGCACCTGACTGTACGTGGGGCTCGCAGCCTTGCCGAGGCCGAGCCAGTAGTATCCCAGATCGAGTCATCACACCTCGCTTAGCGATCCCGAAAACCGCGAAGCAGCGCTGAAAAGGCAAACGACCGACAACAGCGGTGACTGCCGCTGAGGCCGCTGACATGCGCTGCCGCGCTGTCCACGTGGTATTACATAAGCGGCCGACGCGCTTCACCGCAGCAACGGGCCAGCGGCCGCTTGTGCTTGTGCTTTCCTGGACATGAGCTGCCACATCCAGCTGTCATCCAACCCTGGCTCGCGTCAGCATACCCGCCCGCCCTATACCACTGCACCCCCCCTTGATTCATGCGCTGGACGTAGCACCCGCCTACCATGTCTGCTCAGCGCCCCCTCCATTATGACGCATCACGTACGCCCCTACTCGTCCGTCGTCCCTGTCGTGTCTGACCTGTGTCACTGCAGAGCCATTGTATGGCATATCATTCTCCAACTCTACGTCCCACCCATTCCGTACAGCGCTCTCCACAATCACGACCGGCCTCAGCAACAAGCTGTGCATCGTCGACCTCACTTCTTCTCCGAACACCTCTCAATCCCAGTCACCCTACTACTCACAGCACAATGGTACTTCCAATAATGGGGCTGCACCAGAGTTCAGTCAGATGACTCAAACTTCGTTGAATGTACCGGCTACCAAAGTTGCCTGGGAGCCCGGGGAGAGTCTGAGGCTGGACGAAGGCGGTCGCGGCGAGCTGGTCGCCAGCAGCGGTGATGTGTTGCATATATGGGAAGTTGCGGAGGAGCACGAAAGGGGAGGAGGTGGCTATGTGGGAAATGCTTATGGAGGTGGAAGCTCGTGGTCGATGAAGAATCGGAGTGTCTTGAGCAATGTGAGTTGCATTACTGCGGCATGGTATGATTTAAGAATGGTATGCTCATACCCAGTCGAGAAGGCCAAAGGAGCCCACGGAAGTTCACCTCCAATAACATCTTTCAGCTGGAACCGCAAATCTCCCAATAAACTCGTTTCCTGCTCTATAGACACCACCGCGACACTCTGGGACATCAACACCTCACAAGCCATGACGCAGCTCATCGCGCATGATCGGGCTGTGTATGACTTGTCGTGGTTGCCGGATTCTTCTGATATCTTTGTGAGCGTCGGAGCGGATGGGAGCTTGAGGGCGTTTGATTTGAGGCAACTGGAGCATTCGACCATTCTGTACGAGTCGGCAAACGATGCGCCGCTTGCCCGGATAGCGTTCAGTCAAAAGGAGCAGTATGTCTCGGCTTTGGCGTTGCATTCCTCGTCCCTGACCCCATCACAGGCATATGCTGGCATGCTTTGGCCTGGACGACTCCAAGGTGCTCATCCTCGACATGCGATCGCCAGGCAAACCTGTCGCTGAGCTTGTCGGGCACCAAGCACCTCTTGGCGCCCTCGCGTGGGGCGCCACAGGACCGTCGAGCAGAAGTGATACCACGGGAGGCGGCTGGCTGGCCAGTTGTGGTACGTCCCCCTGGGAATTTTGATTGCAACTCGTGCTGATGCAAAGACACAGGTGACGACTCTCAACTGTTACTATACGACCTCACAGCCCCCATTTCCTCCTCCCGCCCAGCCTCCCGATCAAACTTCAAACCACCCCCTGCCAATCCCTCTCCATACTCCGCCCTCTCTCCTTCTGCCACCCCCGCATCGCAAAGGACACCAAGTCCCGCAGACGCAGTAGAGATCCTGCCGAGCAAGGGGTGGACAGCAAGAGGGGAGGTGAATAATCTGGCTTTCACAAACAGTGGCGATTGGTTGGGATGTGTCAGCGGGAATAGGATGAGCGTTTTGCCAGTATAGTGTGTAGAGTGTATCAATCGGGCAAGAACGCTGGGGTGGCAGAAGAAAGAAGTCAGAAGTGACGGGGACGACGTTATGAATCAACAAAACGACCTAGGATAACGACCTAGGATCTATAGATCTGCGCATGTGTTCATAGTCTTCTTATATATATACCCCCATTCGTTTCTCGCACATAGGTGTGATATGGCTGAATTGGATGTGAATGACATGCAAGCATGGAAGAAAAACATCCTCTGGATATGTGTCGCGTAGATGTGACCAGCTCCCATCAATGAAAGATCCACAACTGCCTGTACATAAACCATTTGATTCATTCTTTATGGCAAAAAGGTGTGGTATTATATAGTAATGTCGACAAAACTGATTAGTCCCACATTCAGTGGAGAATAAACGAACGAGGACATGCCCAGTTTTGACTTTTATCTTCGCTTTGCAAGACCAAAAGTGGTCTTATAAAACCCCGACGGTAGCACTGGCTGACTGAAGGTCGAACCGAGCAATGAAAGGGGACTGAAAGCGTGTGTATATGAGGGGATGGGGGGTTGGGGGAGAGAAGAGAGATAGAAAAGTGGGAGGATATCGAGGTCTACTGCATAACCAATCATTACACTGTTTCAAGCATCAGCTATTGTCCTGTTCGATAGACAAGACGACAGAAGAAGGGGTAAAGTCAGATAGTGCGAGTTTAACGCCTTCGGACCCAAGCCTGGAAACCTGAACAAAAGTTCTGGAGTCAGGGCATCGGGCAGTCGTACTGACGTGCAAATGTCTAGCAGTTTCGTCCGGAGAAAGGCGCATAAGGCGGGAATGAATGGTTGACTCACCTAAACACTGAAAGTTGACGAGAAGACGATAGTAGATGGAGTTGCAAAAGCAAGATGGAGTTGCAAACTTTTGGTAGGCTGCTGGCTCGGTAAGACTGAAAGTAATCCACGTCACTGGCAGCTGAGTCACGTGAGCTATAGCCGGCCGCCGTGATACGCTCCTCCACTCTCCCCCACTTTCCCCACTTTCCCCCACCCTGCCCACCAGCCCATACATATCTCGGCCAATTCTCTTTTTCTTCTCTTCCCCAACACACAATCAAAAGAACCAGAAATGCCTGCTGAACACATCCTCACCCAAGACGCCCCTGCTCCCCTCCCTGGAATCGTCAGTCTCTCCATACTCATAAGCCTTCATACACACGCTGACGAGCAGAGCAGTACTCCCAGGCTGTCCGAGCTGGCAATTATGTCTATACCTCAGGATCAGTTGGTATGACCAAGGAAGGTCAAATGGTGGAGGGTAATGTCAGTTGTGCGAGCTGCATGGCGTGGGATGATGGCTGACCGCATGGCAGGTTCAAGACCGTACTCGCCAAGTCATCCAGGTGAGTCAAAGATACGACTTTCGGCAAGAGCACAGGCTGACATTCGCAATGTAGAACCTGGAGGCTATCCTCAGGGGCTCTGGTATGACTTTGGCCAATGTCGTCAAGGCCAACATCTACCTCTCTAACCTCTCCCGAGACTTTCCCGTCGTCAACGAGGTACGCTCTCAGCTCCATCTAAACCGGCTACAGAAGTACTGACGATGAGAAACGTAGGTCTGGAAGGAGCTGATGCCCGACCCCAAGCCCGCTAGGACCTGTATCGGTGTTGCCGAGCTGCCCGCTGGTGGCACCGATGTCGAGATAGAGTTTACTGCTTACGATGGGTAGACGTATTCCTCAGATTTATAGCTGAATAATTGCCAAAATACATCCACTTATGACGGTTGGACACAATGTCTTCTCATTCCGAAAGAGCCATATCCCAGACTACAATGATGAACGATAGTCACAAGTCTCGGTCGTCCGAGGGCTACTCGGGTGTTGCTAATCGTATGGTAGAGAGCGATGTACAACCATTGTGAGTATACTGCTACTTGTACAATGCATGAGTCGTATCGGTCGTCAGAAAGTATGTTTATGGAGTATATGTCAAGATTTCAAAAAAGTCTGCTACGGTCAGCCACCTCGTATGGCGCAAGCAGAAATTACACTCACCTATTACGCTACAGGCGATGCTTGAAGCTGTACATACGCCCCAGGTAGCCTGGAAACTCTACGATTGCGAATGAGAGCAAACATGATGAATGCTAACAGCACGGCACACTGAACGCCATATGTTAGCAACGCAGACAGAAGGATGAAAAGGGACGTACGCCGTTGACCAAGAAGATGAGCCTGCCCAGCGCTTCTTTGTTAAGACTGGCGTAGATTGTTCCAAATAACGATACAGCAGTGAGATATGCTTGGGACAAGTCAGTAATGCCACATGTTCAAGCGCAGAGATGACCCACCACACCACCCCACAAGACTTATAGCGCTCAGCGCATCCGCCTGCTGACTCTCGTCCACTAGATTTACAAGCACCCCGGTACAAGCGGGTGACAATCCGCTCGAAAGCGGAAGCACCATCGCAATAGTAAAGATCTGCCAGCTCGATTGTGCGAGCGTAGTGATAAAGGTAACGATGGTCTCAAAGAGGGCAGAGGCCTGGAGGAAGTAGAGGTCGAAGGTGTCTTGAGCGGGTAGCGGGGAGAGGGGCGAAGGGGACGAGGGAGGTGCAGGGGCTCTAGAGCGGCCCCACTTGATGATGCGGGGAAAGAGGATGGTGAGGAAGAGCGCTTCGAGGAGCATGTTAAGAGACTGTAGACATGAGTGAGCTCGTGGGCGGAATGATGCAGATTTGAGCTTACAGTCATAATGCCGTTCGTCTTGGCGCTCATTCCAAACATGTCCATCCCTGCCATCTTCAGCATTCTGGGAAAATAGCCAGTCACCATCACCGTGAAAAAGATCCCCAGACCCAGCAGGGTCACATTCCAATCCAGCCCGCCTCTCCTTCCGCTTGGCCCGTGATTCTTTCGGGGCATGAACACTTTCAAAGGTGAGATCAGTGATTCTGATGGGCTTTCTTGAGATACTTGAGCCGTTTCGGGGACCTCGGGAAGAATGAGCAGAGCGACGATGATGCAAATGACCGACATGGCCAAGCCGGTCTTGAATGGCGCGTACAAGCCATAAGTATCGTACAGATATCCATCGACTGTGTGTAATCAGCGGCAGAACTTTTATGTACAGGCCATATGGCTACTCACACGCATAGCCGAGGGCAGTTCCGATCTTGAACATGCCATCAATAACCCCAAAAGCGCCTGTCCTCTCTTCCTCTGACACTAGCCGCGTGATCAACACGTTGCTAGCGATCCTCAACCCAGCCCCTGATCCGAAGAGATAGACGAGGCCTGACCATTGAAGGATGTGCACGCCGGTAAGCCCGCCTACTGATAGACCGTAAGTCTGTATGAGAATGCAGAGGAACAGGGAAACCGGCTGGAGGGTAAAGACTTTGCGGGGACCGTATTTCGTGATGAGCGAGTTGGTGGCAAAGACGCTCACGACAGCTGCCAAAGTCAGCTTCCGTGCTTCTGCCATCAGAAGCAACTCACCTGCTACAGTCATTATCCCAATTGCCAATGAGTAGCTCCTGGCATAGGAGGCGGCTACGGCGGGTACAGAGCACTTGTGCCGTCCAGTGTGATCCCACTCGTGGTCCTTGTAGTATTCGTCGCATATCATACGCTTGAAAGCATACAGTAGGGTGGTATCTGTAAGACAGAATGCAAACTCGGTGACAAGGATAGTCAAGAATACTCTGTGGGCTGGGGAGAAGGTGAAGCGGCGGGGGGGCGGGGGGTCATCGTCTATGAAGGCTGGGGGGAGGAGAGCGTCGTAAGCATCGTGGCTGTTGTCGTTATGGGGCATGATGGACGGTGGCGAGCACCTGTTGCGTGGTGGCGACTCTATATATACCGATACAGAAGCGGCCGAAAGCAAGATGATGGACGATCGTCCTATGTCGCGTTCCGTCCGAACGAAGCACTGCGCTTCCTTGCACGGGATTTAAGGGCCGCCCCGATCATAGTAGAGCGCTGGGCAGAGGCGATGGCGAATGGGAGCAGGTATATGTCAGCAAGCATAACGACATCGACCACCGCGGCTATGCATATCTCCACCCTATATCGTAAAGCCGATGCATAATGCATGATCATTTGTTGAGATCTCTCCCTGTTCCTTGCATCGACCGATGGTCCTATATATATGCTATTCTTTCCTCGCCCATGGCTATATGCGACTATCCGTCTCTAAGGAAAAGCGTCCCCTCGCTAGACATTCTTGTCAGCTTAACCATCTTTCCCATTTGCGAAGTACCACTTACAATTGCCTAAAGTCCCTCGACCCTCTGCGTCCCTCTTGCCCCAGTCAACTTTGTAACCGTCTCTTTCCTCTCCTGCTTGACGTCTCCTGTCACCACTCCCTCGCCTCGCTGGCTCAGATTCCACTCCAGCAGTCGCCTGAGCAAAGCATCCGAACCCGTGGCCAACAGACCCACCAAAAGCCCAACCCTCGTCGAATCTTTGGCTTCCTCTGTACCCTCCCAGAAGGTCGCAGCAAGGTGATGGACGGCGAGGTGAAACAGGAACGGGTTTCTATCTTCCAGAATCCAACCTCTTGACAGAGCTCGAGCATACCCAGAGAGTACTTCTGCGCTCGTCTCTCGCGGCTCAAAGTACCCCGACAAACCCTTCACGTCCTCCACCGGCGCTTCATCCATCTTCATCCGCATACCTCTTAATGCCGTAGCGTGGTCGTTCCAAAGTAGCTTTCTGTAGTCCATGGAGTAAGACATGGCCAGTGGAGGAAGGAGGAGCTGGGAGAAGAGCAGGTCGGAGAAAGAGATGGCTTCGTAGAGGGCGATAAAGTCGGTGTAGAACTGGAAGAATGGTACGCCCGCGCCAAGGAAGGGAAGGGAGACGCTCTCGATAGGAGCCATAAGAGAGCCCGAGGATGTCATGGGGTTGGTAAGGTGAGCCATCAACCTACTCATACCCAAAGCGACTTGGGCATCACGGAAGACTTCACTCTCACTTGTCGTAGTCGCCCCTTGCTGGCCATGCTCCAGCATGAAGACCTTCATCATATTGAAAGCCACCCGACTTCTGCCTAACCTATCTTCCCAGCCCATGACAGCGCACTGGAGCTGGCCAAGTAAGAGTACAGATTGGACGATCTCTGTTTCCGAGGCACTCCAGTCTGGTGGGACTTGAGCGAGAGCAGAAGAGGAGCCCGAGCGGAGGAGCTCGTTGAGAGGCGAGAAGAGCCAGTCTGCCTGCAGAGGTAAGCCGACCATGCTTTGCCCCTTCTCGCCTTCCACCGTGGCGGGTGGTGCGCGAAGAGAAGCAGTCGCTTTCAAATAGATATGCGAAGGCTCACGGGGGGCAATGACATGCTCCACATCAGGCAAGATTGTGAATTGAAGCAAAGGCCGGAGGATCTCGAGTCGATCCGCATGGGCGAGGGAAGCGTACTGTCGAGCAATGGGCTCAGCAGAGGATGACCAGTCGGATCTGAGAATGTCGTCCACCAACTCGAGAGCTAGAGGTTCGTCTCCAATCTGGAACGACAAGAAAAGGTCGAGTGCGATAGGCAGCCAGTCGGAAGAGGACAACGTCTTGTCCTGCATTCCCAGACGAAGGAGACCGTGCCGCAGGTATGTCGCAGACCGATGTGAAGACTTTGTAGGTATCATGAATGCGTGGCGAAGGGTCGCGAGGACCTCTTCACTGAGAAGCATACCGACGGGCTGGAGCTGTGTATGCAGCCTTACAGCCGCTGCACACAACTTGACTTCCTCTTCATTCCCGCTGCTCAGCTTTTCGATTGATTCGCGCAACCCAATGCTTCTGAGACTCTCCAGCAACTCCTGCTTCTCTTCTTCACCGGCTCTGGCCCCGTTGACCTTTGCCCCGCTAGTCCAGCTGACCAGCATGCTCATAGCAGCCGCCACTTCGCCCAACCGTGTCTGCTTGACCAACTCGCCAGCAGCACTGATGACCTCGTCTTGCCAACTGAGGGCCGAGACTTGGGCCCAGGTGATGTCGTGTTCAGGGGTAGTGCGGTGCGGGTCGATGGCGCAGGTGGTCCAGATGGAGAGGAGGTTAAAGTATGCCTCGATGAGGCTCTGCTCGAGAGGTGAGGATTGGGTAGCTGATCGTTCGCGTACCCAAGCCCCGAAGAGGCGCCAGACTTCCCCACTGGAAGTGACCACAGAAGCAGACAAGCCATACCTCCCCAGAGCTCCGTAAACCCTGAGCACCTCCAAAGCCAACAATTGTCCCAGCTCCGCCTCAACACCACTCTCTTCGCCCCATGTAGCAGTCACAACAAACTTGAGTATCGTTTCGTACACCCTCTCGCTCAAGAGTTCTTCGGCACAGGCTCGGGAGCTGGCGGTGATGGAGCGAAGGAAGCGGATGGCGTCAGTGCTGGGGGAGTTGTCGGGACGAGGAGGCCAGGCTCGTTGCACAACGTGATGTTTGATGACGACTGGTACAATTGGGCAGAGCGTCTCACACATCTCCCCTGGAAGGAGGGTAGCACGCCGGAGGATGAGTAGCAACTGATGCGTGGTTGTCGGAGGGAGAGCGTCAGGCATGGAAAGCAGCTCGGACAGACGGGGAAGGACGTCGTCAAAGGGGATCGATGCGATACCGATGGGATCGGCATTCGCGGAAAGAGGAGTGGGGATGGAGGCCTGATACGTATCTGAGCCTGGGGAGTCATCAAGCCAAGACCAGGAAGGACCACCGAGCGCTTCAAAGAGAAGGTCTACGCTGGCGCGGATGACACCTGCACCTCTGGTCAGACCTGCCAGGACGTCGATGCCCATCTCAATAGCTTGCTGCACGATCCCTTCCTTCTCACACTCCTTGGCGACTTCCTGACTCAAATCGCTATTGTTCAGCTTTGCAATGATCTTTGACAGCACACCCATCATGGTGATACGTTGACTGGGCACAGTCGAGCGGCACAGGTACAAGATATCCTGTAGAGTGTAGCCCGCGAGATCTGGAGATTCGCCGTGATGATGCAGCCCCAGATGGGTAGGCAGAGAAGCCTTGGCGTCGGTAGAGAGCACGGCACCGGACAGGTCGAATCGGGTAGAGCTGTCATTGGATGGGGTAGTGATGGGTTTAAGCCATTCGAGCTTGGCAGACTCGTGGGATTTGGGCTTGGGGTCGACTTCAGCCGTTGGAGGGGTCGAAGTGTGAACTTTGCCTGAATCCAATTAGCACTAGTCTTTGAGAGTTTATAGGACTCACTCTTGATCACCTGCTCAGCCTCCCCCTGCTTGCCCTTTCTTAATCTCGCCTCCGCCCTCCTTCTCAGTCCCTCCAATACATGGTCCCCTAAACGCTCTCTCAGCTCCTCCATCTCCTGCGTCCTCTCCTCCGCACTCATATCCTTTATCCGCTTTTCATTCTCCTCAGATACCTCTTGCAGGATACTTTTTGTATCCACGCCAGCAACTGGTTCCAGCACAGCGGGCAATGACGGCGCACTAGCCTGAGGGAGAGAAGTTTTGTTTTGACGGGCGTCGGCTCTCTTTTGCATGAGCCCCATGACCTTACTACCAAACCTTTCCCTCAACTCTTCCACCTCCTCGCTCCTCTCCTTTGAAGTCATAGTTTCCAACGTCCTCTTGTTCTCCTCATTCACTTGTTCTCTGACTTGCTCCCACTCGCTTCCACTTCCACTGCCAGGCCCATCCAAGCCGCCCACTACATCCTTCTCAACTTTATCCACTTGGACTGCTGGAACGCTTTCCACGGCAGTGCCGAATCCTACAGCCTGCTTTCCTGTAGTCTGACGGTCTTGCTGAGCTTTTCGGGCGCGGGCAAAGGCTGATGGGCGTTGTGACCGGTGGAGGGGGACAGGGAAGCCTGTACCGCCTGGGGCGGGTGGTTGCGGAGGCTGTGGACTAGAGGGAGCGGTGGGGTCGGCGGAAGGGTGTTCGACGATGTCTTTCAACATTCTGAGCAAGTTTCTAAAAATGTTGAGAAAGGAAAAGAAAGACTGAAAATGATGGATCAGCGTCAATATGGCCGGCGGCCGGTGCAAAAGATCAGTTCGGTGCTCCCCGCCGTGATGAATCTAAACCTTACTTCTCCTGTCCCGATCTATGCGCGTTCTCCCCCAGCCTCTGCCATAGTCAGTCAATGTGCAGAGTACAGATACTCGTAAGCTCCTGAAGACTACCCAGATTGTGTAAAGGGGGTTGCGATATTCACATTGGTAGCTGGAGGCACGTCCTAGGCTTACGATACTACTGGCAACTCCAGGAGGTGACACTCGAAAGACCTTCTCAACGCCATGCATGCTGTAGACATCATGATACTCCACATTATGACAAAGAAGCACCGACAAAGCTCTGCGCCTTGAGCACGCCGTTGGCAGTCCTGATTCGGTGGACCGACTTGGTCTCGGGGTCGATCCAAGCGGCTTCGCGGTTCTCGAGAGTGGTGAAGTTGGGCTGGATCGTTTCAAAGACCTTCTTCTTGGGGTTGAGCTGACCCTCGGGAGCAACATCTGTTCATCGTCAGCAGTGACTGAACGAGGATAAAGGCAGCAACTTACTCTCGTACTTTTCGCCCTCAAAGTAGATCTTGTCACCAGCCTTGCTTCCCTCGGGAGGGAACACGAATTGCACACCACCCTCCTCCTTGCCCTCCTTTGAGCTCGCGCAAAGAAGCATGGCAAAACTCTTCACACCCCTCATGGTGACAGGCTTCAAGTTGCAGATAACCACTACATGCTGTCCCAGGATGTCCTCCTCCTTCATGTACTTGACCAAACCAGAGCACACCGTACGGGGCTCCTCCTCTCCGACATCGATGGTCTCGACGTAGAGAGAGTCGGCGTCG